AACAAACAAAAAGGTCAAGCTGGAAGGTGGTTGCACACACCTGTTACCCCTGCACCTAGGAAGTGGAGGCAGAATCCTAGGCCAGCCTAGGCAACATAGCATGTTTTAGGTGAGTAAGAGCTGCTACCATCCAACCCCCAGTAATGGCAGATGTTGCTGAGTGCTTAGTGCTTGTGTGGACCACCTGCCGTCAGCTGCATGCTGTGGGTGCTGTGGTCATCCGGAAGCTGACAGCCAGGAGCCTGAGGCAGAGGCTTCAGGCTCCCTAGTGCTCATCAGACACTGTGAGCTAGCACTCTGGAAGACACCATCCCTACTACGCCCAGCACAGTGCGTTCCAGGTTCTAGTACTTTAGTACCTTGTTCTGTGGTTGCCAGCAGCTGGGGTCTCATCTCCTGGATCTTTCTTGCCTGACTGCTTTCTTCCCTCCAGCTGAAAGGAAGGCCAGACCTGTGCATAAGCTCAAAACCCAACAAAAAACTATGGAACTTATTACTTGAGTCCCAGGGGCTGAACCTAAAGCCTCGTGCTGTGAGGCAAGTGCTCTGCAACCACATGAAGTACGCTGTTTGCCCTTCCAGAGGACTCAGGTTCAACTCCCAGCACCCGCATGGAAGTTCACAACCGTCTGTAACTCTAGTTCTAGATGATCTGATCGCCCTGACCTCTCTGGCTTCTGTGGGCACCAGGCATCCACGTGGTACACAGATAAACATGCAGGCAAAATACCCATGCACATAAAATAACTTAAAACAAATTGTCTTTGCTTGTTTTTTGAGACAGGGTTTCTCTGTGTAGCCCTGGTTGTTCTGGAACTCCCTCTGTAGACCAGGCTGGGCTCAAACTCACAGAGATCACCCGCCTCTGCCTCCCCAGTGCTGGGATTAAAGGCGTGCGCCACCACCGCCCGGCTTGTCCGAGATTCTTTATGTGCAACTGGGCGTCAGATCCCCCAGAGCTGGAGTTATAAGTGATTGTGGACTTCGTAATGTGGGTGCTGAGAATTGTACTTTGACCCTCTGGAAGAACAGCAAGGGTTCTTAACTGTGGAGCGCCTCCTCTACCCCCAACCAGACCACTTTTCACTGCTTAGGTCTCAGGTTGGTATTGAACTCACATTCATTCCTCTGCCTTGGCCTCAGTGCGGGGACTGGAACGACAGGGAAAACAGGCATCTGGTCCATATTCCTGTCTCTGGCTGGCTTTGCTATTTACATGAACCTAAACTCAGTAAAGCTGGCTGATGCTTGTGTTTTTACTGCACGGTGCCTTTTCCTTGCACTGCGTTTTGAGGCATCGTAGAGGTCCATCATCCTCCGCAGGTGCCGGTTGGTTAGGCAGATGCACCACTCACCTGCTGCTGTGTAGAACCCACCTCCTTTGTCTGCCACTGTAATCATACAGCTTCCTGCTCTTGGGTTTCTCTCTCAGAGGCCAAGAAAGCCCACTCCTGGGTCACAGGGTAGCTCCTCTTTTGGTTTTCATTATGTGTGCTTCTGTATTGTTGGACTCCTGCTACTTTTGTGATTTACAGAAAAAAAAATCATAAAAAATAGAAAGAGGTAGGTAGAGTGTTGGCTCCTAAAAAGTGAGGGTGCCTGACGGTTGTCACATGATCATTATGTAACCTGCTAATCATTATGTAATGAAGTCTGGATACTAAGCACAGAAGTCCCAAGTCTTCATTTGTGTCAAGGATGAGAAATGTGCCTCTCTTGAGACCTTGGGTCTTTTCTAACAGGAAATGTCACATGTTTCCATCACCAGGGCTTCCCTCTTGGCTGTTACAGAACCACAGAGGTGGAAGGGACTTTCTCGAAGCCTCATGTGAAAAGGCAAGCTCGTCACACTTGCCGAGAGAGCTTTTATTTCTTTTCTTTGTTTGGGGAATTGAGACAGAGTCTCATGTAGCTCAGGCTGGTCCCAACCTACTATTAGGCAAGGACAGCCTTGAGCTCCTGATTCTCCTGCCTCTATCTCCTGAGTTCTGAGAGACTATAGGCATGCACCACCACTCCTGGCTGGAAAAGATTTATTTTTTAATTATATGTCTGTGTCTGCAGGTGCTCTCAGAGGTAAAGCCAGAAGAAAGAGTCGGATCCCCTGGAGTTGGAGTTATGGTTGTGAAGAGCCTGATGTGGGAGCTACAAACTGAACTTGGATCATCTGAAAAAGCAGTGCACACTTCTAACCTAAACTTACGCGTGGAGTTACATCAAGCTTTCTGACAAACCTTACTGGCTTTATTTTCTTGGTGTCACCCTGGTTCTAAGAGTGACTCGTACAACCAGGGAACACCAGTTGGATGGCTCCTGATCAGACATGCACAGAGCTCCTGGGAACACAGGTGAAAAGGGATGTGGGTCCTGGTGCAGATAGCAGGCTGGATACATATGTGGCTGGAGTGCTGAGATACAATTCCGAAAGAGTGTTGTAGGAAGCCAGAAGAGAAGTGCTCTGGATCTTTTAGCTGGAGAAATCAGAAGAAGCCAGGAAGAAAGCAAGACAGGGAAGGGCATTCATTATCCATTACCAGGCAGCAGGGTGTGGAGAGGCCAGAGCGGTGAACAAACAAGGTATAGGGGCACACACCTTTAATCTCAGCACTCAAGAGGCAGAGGCAGGTGGATCTGTTAGTTCGAGGCCAGCCTGGTCTACATAGTTCCAGGTTACATAGTCAAGGTTACACATTGAGACTGTCTTGAGAAAACAAAAATTCCAGCCAGTCAAAAATGATGCTCTATGCCTAATTCATGTATACAAACTCTAGGGATTCTGCAGCAAATCATCTCTCTCTCATAAGTTAAAATATATATATTTCTGAGACAGGGTTTCTCGGTGGCTTTGGAACCTGTCCTGAAACTAGCTCTTGTAGACCAGGCTGGTCTCGAACTCAGAGAGATCCGCCTGCCTCTGCCTCCCAAGTGCTGGAATTAAAGGCATGCGCCACCACTGCCTGGCTTAAAAAAATATTTCATGTGTATGATCATTTTTTCTTTTTGCCTGAATGTATGGCTGTTCACCACATGTGTGCAGTCCCCTCTCGGAGGCCAGAAGAGGGCGTCTAATTTCCTGTGACTGGCATGTGGTTCTGGGGAACTGAACCAGGTCCTTGAGCAGCATCCCTTAAAGGCTGAGCCATTTCTCCAGCACAGCCCCCCGAAGTTATCTCTCAGGGAGCTCCTGGTCAATGTGACAAACAGGAGTTAGAGAAACCTATGAAAAGTCAAGTGGCAAGCTGTTAGGACATAAGCCAGTGTAGACAGCAGGTCTCAAAGGGAATTGGGTGGACTGCTTTTGCCCCTCTGGTTTCCATGGTTACAGAACAGAAGCCAGCTTCATTCACGAGACAGAGGCAGGCTGAGCTCCACGAGGTAGCCAGTGTCCTTAGGAAAGCTTTCCACAGGTTACAAGTGAGTTCCAGGCCAGAATACATAGTAAGCTCTAGACTAGCCAGGGCTACCTGTCTCAAAAACAACTCCTTTAGGTTTTTAGTCTATGCTATGTACTAAGTAGTTTCTATGTAGTAGTTCATTCTGACTACAGCTCACTAGGCAGCTGATATTGTTATTATTACTGCTTTTAAAAGGTATTATGATGAGGCTCAGAGAGGTTAAGTGGCTTGTTCAAGGCTAGGCAAGGGTTCTAGGCCTGCTACAGCCCCAGCCTATTATTATTATTATTATTATTTTAGACAGGAGCTCGCTAAACTATTCATGTTAGCCTTAAACTCACACTCCTCCTGACTCAGCCTTCAGAATAGTTGGGATTAGTGAGGTTCAATCTATGGACTAATGGGAATAATGGATTATTATCACTTGAGACAGAGTTTTGCTATGTAGTGACTTATTTTTATTTTACGTTATGTGTTGCCTGCATTTATGTATGTGCACCACGTGCGTGACTGGTACCCGTGAAGGTCAGAGAGGGCATCAGATTCCCTAGAACTGTTATCGATGGTTGTGAGCCTCCACGCGGTTCTGAGAATCGAACCTGGGTCCTCTGAAAGTGACAAGTGTTCCTAAACGCGAAGCCTTCTCCTGAGTCCCCTATACCCCCCCCCCCCCCATCTGCATCATTAACTTCGGTCGCCCGTAGTTAACACTCAAGGTCTGCTCTCCAGTCTCACATGACCTCCGCCTACGTTTTGTCGCTATCCCCAGCGGTTTTGTCGCGATTGCGGGTCTCGACGTCAGTCCGGGCTCTCAAGCACTGTCCTGACCAGGGGAAAGCCGGCCAGGTGGAAAAACCAATCTCCCCGCGCTAGTACCCGTTTCCATGACAACCCGGTTAACCAGCGTCTGCGGGCAAAGCGCTGCGCGTCACTTCCAGCTCATTTGCTTCCGGATTCCGCTTGTGCCTCCTCGACGGTCCCGAAGGGGCGAAGTCGGGTTCCGCGGAGAAGTGCTCCCCACCCCGTCTCCCGCCGCCTCCGTTCCTCGCGTTCATCTGCTGGCCACAGGTTTCCGCCGGTCTTTCCTAGGCTCAGCGCGCAGCCGCGACCCAGCCTCTCGCAGAGCCCGCCTCCGTGGCGTCACCTCCGGGCTGAGTGCTTCCGGGTCGCCGCTGGCTCGGGTCCTGGTCTCGGTCCCCGGAGCCGGCGGGAGCGGCGGGGCCGTACGGGGGCCGTGCTCCGGCGGCGTTCGCTTCTCTGGCGGGCAGCGGCGGGTGAGTGCGGGGCAGGCGGGAGGACAGGTCCCTGTGGGCGTTGTCGCTGGCCAGGCCCTCGGCTCCGTCCCCGCGGCCGCAGCTGCTATTTGCGGCCGGCCCCAGCACTCGTTCCCGGGTGAGACTGCACACGCGCCCCCGGTACCGCGCGCGACCCGCGGCTGGGAGGGGAGGCGGACCTGGCTTTGGACTCACGGAGTAGTGACCTTGCCTGAGTCGCTCCGCCTCAGGAGTCTCAGTCTCCGGGTCTGTGAGGAGGGACGCGGCGGCCTTCCGGGGCTGCGGTGGGCGTGGAATGAGAGGACGCAGGCGTTGCGCGGTGCCGGGGTGTGCAAGTGTCCAGTGACAGGTCCCGGTACTTCATTGGCAGAGGGAAGGGCGTTAGCGAGAGCTTGCCCATCGTGTGCGGTGCTCTGGTTTCTGCCTCCAGTTCCCAGCACCACCGACAAAAGACCGTACGCGCCTGCCTCTGAGCCTGGGGCGTTTTCCGCGCCGCTATGGCGGTCAGAAGCAGGCGACTCACCCAGTCGGGAGAAGCCGCCGCAGGTTTGCGTCCCCTGCAGAGAAGGGACGTAGCTCCCTTCAGAACCCTTAGGAGAAGCAGCCGTGGGCAGAGAAGCCATGTTCCAGTACAGCCCAAGTTGTTTTCAGAGCTTTGGAAGGCCGGGTGATAGTGTTTCTGGAGGCTAGAAGCGGTGGGGAGTTCCTGTAGTGTTCTACAGTCAGCAGGAGATGCCGCCGAGAGGTCTGGGAACCTCTGGCTTAGAATGAGTGCATAGAGGCTGGGTAGAGAGAAGAGAGGTGGAGCCGCGTCGCTCTGATCCTATTTGGAGGTCGAAGCTGAACCAGGGGTGTGTAAACATGTAGATTGGAGTACTGGGACCCAAATAGCATCTGCCAGTGTAGGGAGGGAGTGCCTTTCAGTGCTGCCACGGGACACATTCTGCTCAAAAGGGCCAGCAGAGATAAAGCCGAACCGATGTTCCATTTCCCAAATTATTTGGGTTTTATTCGGGCGAACTTTAAACGCGTTCGGCTTTCCCCGTTGGATGTTTAAAGAATAATTGTTGGTTAAGGCCCCTCCCTCCCTGTGCACTGCTCTACAAAGGGGCCCAGATTGTGGGTGCAGGAGGTGCCACCCAGAGCCGACGACACTAGGCATCCATCCTTCTGCTTCTGTGTTCCGGATATTCTCAGAGCTGTATTTTCCCCCTGCCAGCCTAGTATGGCTGGCATTCCAGTCTTTGGGTTGCTTGGAGAAATTAGCAGCTTCTGTCGCTTGGCTGTCTTGCTCTCCCGTAACCAGGCTGTGTTTTGCAGAGAGCGTGTTTTTTTGTTGTGCTTTCCAGAGTGTTGGGAATAAATTGCTGGCTCTGTGCTCAGAAAAGACACCAGTTAGGGCCAGCCACAAGGCAGCCTTGTATTCTTAGGGAATGTGTTCAGCAGGGATGATGTAACTGCCTCACTGCTGGCTGGTCTCTGGCCAACAACCTCTCTCCTGGGCCCTTGAGCTTACATCATAAAGAGGCTGGTGGCTCTCCCAGCCCATTCAGTGTGGGAAGAAGGCAGTTTTGCTACTGTCAGATTTGGATTCCCGGGCTGCAGGGCATTTTGACTGATTAAGCCCTTCAAGGGGCCCACTCCTGAAGATGAACAAGATGGCTTTTGCCTAGGGTTAGATTCAAGTTCAGGTCTCATATCCATGTCTTCTTGGCTCTGTGACTTAGGACAAGTGAGTTACCTCTCTGTGCTCAGTTTTGTCTTGAATGTTGGGGCCGTCCTGTGATCTTTCTGGTTTTTGAACAGCCGGCACAGGGACCTGCATATCTTGGTACCAATTACAGCCCAAAACGAGTGAGCTGAATGGAAGCGAGCCAGTCCTCACAACTTGTTGGCCCTTTTGGCCCTGCTGGAGATGTTGAGGGTATCGGTTTCCCCAGCTGCTGTCAGGATGAAATGGGAGATGTGAATAAAGTGGGGAGCCTGCCATGTCACTTGGGACTTAGTAGGCCCACTATTCACTGTTCCATTCTCTTACCCTGCCATGTGTGGTCATCCGGTCTTCACACCTGCGCATGTATCTATAGAGGAAGCCAGAGACTGCATGACTTTCTCTTATCTCTGCATTTTAAAAATTTTTTTCTATTTATTTTTATTTATATGGTTGGGTGTTTTGCCTTCACGCATGTCTATGGACCATGTGTGTGCCTTAGAGGCCCGAAGGGGATGTCAGATCCCCTGGGGTTGGTGTTACAGACTGTGGTAAGCCCCTATGTAGGTTCTGGCAATTAAATCCAGGTCCTCAGCCAGGGCTCTTAGCCACTGAGCTATCTCTCCAGCCCCTTCCCCCACTTAAAAAAAGTTTGTTTGTTTTAATGTGTGTGGATATTTTGTTTGTATGTCAGTCCACATTCTAGGCATGCCAGATGCCCACGGAGGTCAGAAGAGGGTGTCAGATCCCCTGGAACTGGAGTTATAGACAATTGTTAGCTGACATATGGGTGCTGGGAATCAAACACAGATGCCTGCAAGAACAGGTGTTTTTAACCACTGAGCCCCTCTAGCTGCCGCCACCTCTTTTTCTTTCTTTCTTTCTTTTTTTTTTTTTTTAATGAGATTGGGTATTGCTGTGTAGCCCTGGAACTAGGCTCTCTTTATTTTATTTTATTTTCAAGATAGGGTGTCTCTCTGTAGCCTTGGCTGCCCTGGAACTCTCTCTGTAGACCAGGCTGGCCTCAAACTCAGAGATCCACCTGCCTCTTCCTCCTGGCACTGGGATCAAAGGTATGTGCCACCATGCCCATCTTTTAATTTTACTTAAGAGAGAGAGGGAGAGCCTCTCACTGAGTGTGCAGCTCCCCTCCTCCTTCTCCTCCTCCTCCTCCTTCTTTTTTTTGTTTTTTGTTTTTTTTTTTCAAGACACGGTTTTTCTGTGGCTTTGGAGCCTGTCCTGGAACTAGCTCTGTAGACCAGGCTAGTCTCGAACTCACAGAGATCCGCCTGCCTCTGCCTCCCGAGTGCTGGGATTAAAGGCATGCGCCACCACCGCCCGGCTCCCATTCTTCTATTTATTTATTTATTTGGTTTTTTGAGGCAGGGTTTCTCTGTAGTTTTGGAACCTGTCCTGGAACTAGCTCCTGTAGACTAGGCTGGCCTCGAACTCACAGAGATCCTCCTGCCTCTATACAGTGTGCACAGTGCCCTGCTGAGTGCTGAACTCAGTCCCTCTCGCTTGCATGGAAAGCACTGCTGAGCCATCTCCCTGTCCTTCTGTCCTTTTTTGTGCAGCGTCTTACTCTGTACCTAGGCTGGCTTTGGACTCTTAAGAGATCTTCCTGTTCTAACCTCCTGAGTGCTGGGATTACAGGCATTCATTTTCTTTGCCTTTCTCCTCCCCTACTATGCCTATTTGAGATTTTCTTGAGAGTAATCCATACTGTGCTTATGTGCATAGCAATCCTCCTGCCTCAGCCTCTCTAGGGCTGGGTTTCTAGGTGTGTCTGCTGCTAAGCTCAGCTTCAGGATTCTTCCTACGTGTGTTATTCACCCTTATTTTAGGACTGTGAGCACCCACTGAAGTTGTTGGTCTCCTTTCCTCGTTTGTTGTTTGCCACCAAAAAAACAAGAGTGTGGCGTGAGGAGCCATTGCCAAACTGATCAGGGCAGGAAGGTGGCTCACTTTGAAAATATCACCTGTTTGGAGCTCAGGGCTGGCTTCTATGGAGAGAAGAAAATAGCAATGTTTAGGGAGACGCATGGTAGCCACCCCACTGCTGCCCTCCTCCTCAACAAGACTGTTTCTATGTAGCCCTGGCTGGCCTGGAACTCACAGAGATCCACCTGCCTGCTTCCTGAGTGCTGGGATTAAAGGTGTGTGTGGCCCATGCCTGTCTTATGTGTATGGGTGATTTGCCTGTATATAGGCTTGTACATCGTTTGCATGCAGGGCTCTCAAAGGTCAGAAGAGGCCATCAGATCCCCTGGGATTGGAGTTATAGGCAGTGTTGCCATGTGGGTGCTGGGAATCAAAGCTTGGGTCCTTTGTAAGAGCTGCCAGAGTACTTAAACTGCTGAACCATGGCTCCAGCCTTCAGCCCTTCTCACTAATATTTATCTCAGGACCTGGAAGGCTGAGGCAGGAGGATCAGAAGTTCAAAGTCATCCTCAGCAGTATAGCAGTATAGCTTGCTTTACATGAGACATGTAAGCTGCATGAGACCCTGTCTAGAGCTTATGATGGGATTCAGGGTCTCATGCATGTAGGCAGGTGCTCCACCACTGAGTCACCCCCATCCACTTGATATTCTTTTTGGTTTTCAAACTTAACAAAACCAGTTGAGCTTCGTAAGCGGGAGGGAGCGTCTCATAGCTAAACCCCATATTTATTATCTAGAGCAGCTGCAAATGTGAGTTTATATTGAGAGGATGTGCATGCTCGGGTGGCTGCTGAGCTGTTCTAGGTAGAACTGGTCCACACTGTCTTCCTCACCGATGGCTTCTACAATTCCTGTCCCCCACCCATAACCAGGCCAGGCAGAAGGTAGGTGCTTTGTAAAACATTGGTGTGACATGGACTTCATGGTTGTCCAGGCACAGGCTCACCCTGAGCTTCAGGCTGCATGGCATGCCATATTTGCAACTTCTCCTCCAGCTGTTCTCATGACCCTGCTGAGAGGTGAAGGTCACTGTGTGTGTGCGTGAATTCCTTACATCATGCATTGCTCCATGTATTAGGTGCCTACTTTGAACTGCATCAACACTAAGTGCTGTGGTGACCTCTGACTCGGTGGGAGTTACAGGTTATGAGGGAGGAACTGAGAGGAAGCAAGTAAAAGAATAAGGTTGATATTTTCATATTGTGGCTCTCGTAGTGTTACATGGCATTGAGGTGGGATTTACTCGGTGTGATGCAGCAGCAGCTCTATGTTGGAGCTGAGGCCTGCTTGATGCAGTGAGCCAGTCACCCAAGAGTCAGAAAGAACAGAAAAACCATGCATGTGCAAGCGTTCTGCTGTAGAGCCATCCTGACAGCTGAGGAGCAAGGGACTGTATGGCTGTTGCTGCGAGGGTGTTAGACCGCTGTGAGTTCGAGTGGGACCCCAGAGGGCCTCTGGCCTTGGTCTGGAGTTAGCACTCACCATTGGAGCCCTGTGTTTGCCTTTTGGGCACTCAGTACATTTGTTTCTAAAGTGCTGGGTGCCCTCAAGGACAGTGGGTAGAAGAAGGGGGTCTTTCAGGTCCTTAAGTGTCTGTTGTTTTGTTCCAACCTCACTCTGTAACTAAGGCTATCATGCCTTACCTCCAGAGTGTGCCCCCACATCCATTGTGTGCCCCCAGTTTTGCTGTGTGTTCTACCACTTACCCTACTGTTAATGCTGCCAGACATCTCTCCAAACCAGAGCTCCTGAGCTGTGGCTTACTGAGGCCAGGGTGGTTCTATGGACCTTGTGGTTTTTGTCAGAGCACATATTTGCTAGAGGACCCCACAGGCCAGCCTTCCTACCTCCCCCCTGCCCTTTTTCCTCCCACAGTCTCAGTGATGCTGATGAACTCTTTTCCCACCTGGGCAGGTGCAGGGTCTCGCTTAGAGTAAGGTGGTCACCACCCATACTCTGGGGTTCAGGCCAGGAAAGTGTCAGGTGTGGTTCACATCCACTCTGCTGGAGCCTTCTTGAGAGCCTGGTGTCTTGCGAGTGGGCACCTTGCCAGGGTGGAGAAGGTCCTGTCACCATCTCGCTAAACAAGTATAAGTCCTTACTTGGCCACGTTTGCAGAGCTATGTGTGCTGATCAGGGTTCATGAAAAAGGAGCCCAGGGGTTGAGGGATTGTCCCAGTGACGTGGACCAGGGCTCTGAACTCAGGCTTGGGAGCCCCTGCATTGCTGCCTCATTGGTCCTGGTGTACCCTTTTGAGCCATGTGTGGCAGTGTGAATGCTGCTCTTTTTACCCAAGGTTGCCTGTGAGCTGCTGGGCTGATGTGCATTCTGGCCCCATCTAAGGTGAAGGGACAGCAGTCTGTCTATTCTCTGAGGTCCCGCTTCAGACCCTTGAGCTAAACTCCCCAGTGGCCATTCACTGAAACCCTGCTGGAAGTGGGACCCAGGGTCTCTCCACATAGATCACTACAGTCCCAGCCCCCACCACCAGGACAGGGGTTGGTGTGCCCCGTGAGTAGTCAGCCTTCTCCAACCTTCCCCCATCTCCTCTTGCTGCCTGGTCTTTAGCAGCCTCCTTTCTGTTGGTGCCAAGCTACTTCCTGCTCCAGGAAAGCTGGGTGTGGTGGTCTGTGCCTGGACTCTGGAGCCTGCCTGGTCTCTGACCTTAGCTTTGCCTTGGGAGCTTTGTGACCCTGGGTAGTTTTCTCAATAGCTGCCTGTCTTCAGGACCCACAGTAGCTCCCTGTGCTCCCCTTGCTTAGGAGTAAGGGAGTTAAGTGCCTGGGACATGCTCTACAAAGCCAGCTCAGCACCTCCCTCCTGCCTCCTCCAGTGAGTGTCACACCCTGGCCTGGCAGTGCTTCAGGTTTAACTCTGCCTCGGGGCTTTCCCAAACTCCTCCTCTGTGACACCAAGGCCAAAACTTGCACCAGCTCCCTGACCCTGCCTCCAAGGCATTAGTCACTCCTGTGAGCTGCTGGACCCAGGACCTGGTGTGTTTTCTCTTCCTTGCACCACGTATGTGTACCGTATCTGTGCCAGGTGGAAGAGCATATGGTGACCATCTGGGCTAAAGAGCCAGCATAGCCTAGGCCAGCTCTGGGCTTTGCTGTCCTCAGCATTCTGAAGCTCGGGTAGGGACCAGTCAGATGGATAATGGCTTCTTGTTCCTTCCTTTTCAGAGCATGCGCTGGTCCATGGGCACCATGCCAGTTCTTCATGTGATGTGCCAGCCTCCAGTTCCAGGGCCATGGGGGAGATGAGGTAGCCCTTGGGTTTGATTGGGGAAGCCCAGTTCAATGGATACGAAGTACAAGGATGATTTATTTCGGAAGTACGTGCAGTTCCATGAGGGCAAAGTGGACACCACCCCCAGCAAGCTGCAGCCTGGCAGCGATGAGTACCTGCGAGTGGCAGCCGCCACCCTGCTCAGCCTGCACAAGGTGGACCCCTTGCACCGATTTCGGCTGATCCGGTTTTATGAAGTGGTAGAGAGCTCCCTGCGTTCACTGAGCAGCTCCAGCCTGAGTGCTCTGCACTGCGCCTTCAGCATGCTAGAGATGGTGGCCATCAACCTCTTCCTGTTCCCCTGGAAGAAGGAATTCCGCAGCATCAAGGTGAGGTGGGGTGGCCGCCTCTGCCTGCTGTTCCCTCCTGAGTGCACATACCCTGTTCTCATTCCATGGGCTCCAAGCAGCTGGGAGCTGGTGTGGACCAAAGCTCCAGTTGGGGAAGGTGGCGGGGGAGGGGGGGGGGTTGAGAGAAGATTCCATAGCAGGGGAATGGAGGTGAGTAGAGACTGCCCCAGGCCAGGCTGGAACCGTGGCATGTTCTGTGTGTGTTTATTGTGGTGGGATTAAACCTGTAGTGCATGCTGTATCCCAAACCATATCCCCAGGCTCCGTGTGTTCTTCAAACTTTGGCGAGGGCCCGAAAGGGACGTTCTCTGGGTTTAGTATCCCACTCCCTATAGACCCATCCCCTGTGCTTCCTCGTGGAGCAGAGCCTTCATGCCTACACAAAGAGCTGATGACCTTGTTGGGCTCATAGGGGCCATGTGTGTCCCTTGCTTGGTGGTGATCATTTAGCATGCTCTTGCCTCTGTGGTCTGCAGGCAGGATCTTCCCGTCTCTCTCCCTGCTGGTCCTGCTCTGCACTTGGTTTGAACAGGCCTCTCTGTAGCATGCCTCTTTTTTGTTTTTGTTTTTTTGTTTTTTTTTGCCCACTTTCTCCCTAGACCTACACAGGCCCTTTTGTTTACTATGTCAAGTCCACTTTGCTGGAGGAGGACATCCGAGCCATTCTGAGGTTCATGGGCTACGAGCCTGAGTTGGGAACTGCATACAAACTCAGGGAGCTTGTGGAGTCCCTCCAGGTGAAGATGGTCTCCTTTGAGCTCTTCCTGGCCAAGGTCGAGTGTGAGCAGATGCTGGGGATCCACTCGCAGGTGAAGGACAAGGGCTACTCAGAGCTGGATGTGGTGACTGAACGCAAGAGCAGTACAGAGGATGCGCACGGGTGCTCAGATGCTCTGCGGCGACGGGCTGAGAGCAGGGAACACCTGACCACATCCATGGCTCGTGTGGCACTGCAGAAGTCAGCCAGTGAGCGGGCAGCCAAGGACTACTACAAGCCTCGAGTGACCAAACCCTCCAGGTCGGTGGATGCCTATGACAGCTACTGGGAGAGCCGGAAGCTCCCCTCAAAGGCCTCACTGAGTCTGCGAAAGGAGCCCCTGGCCATGGATGTAGGGGATGACCTGAAGGATGAGATCATCCGCCCATCCCCCTCCTTGCTGACCATGTCCAGCTCCCCCCATGGCAGCCCTGATGACCTTCCATCCATCTCCCCCACCAACGGACTTGGCCTGCTGCGCAGTCCGTACTTTTCCACTCAGGATGACGTGGACCTGTATACGGACTCAGAACCCAGGGCCACCTATCGGAGGCAGGATGCTCTGCGGCCGGACATATGGCTGCTCAAAAATGATGCCCACCCCATCTACCACAAGCGTTCACCCCCCACCAAAGAGTCTGCCCTATCCAAGTGCCAAAACTGCGGCCTGTCCTGCAGCTCTGCCCTCTGCCAGCGCTGTGACAGTCTACTGGCCTCCAAGCCCAGCGCTTTTCCCAGCAAGGCATCTAGTCACGACAGCCTGGTCCATGGGGCACCTATGCGGGAGAAGTATGTGGGTCAGACTCAGGGCCTTGACCGGCTGCCACCTGTCCACTCAAAGCCCAAGCCCTCCACCACAGCCACCTCCCGCTGTGGCTTTTGTAACCGTGTGGGTGCCACCAATACCTGCACCCAGTGTTCAAAAGTCTCCTGTGACGCCTGCCTCGGCGCCTACCACTACGACCCGTGCTGCAGAAAGAGTGAGCTGCACAAGTTCATGCCCAACAACCAGCTAAACTACAAATCCACTCAGTTCTCCCATCTCGTGTACAGATAGGCCCCACCCCCATCTTCCGCTACAAGGGCTACACCGCTGACCTGGCTTGGTCCCGTCCAGAGGTAGCAGAGCAGCATCAGAATCTGGGATCTGAGCTTGACCACGGAAGCAGCCAGGGTCACTGCTCCTTCACACTCTCGGTCTGAGGGACAGGGTGGCACTTCCATTCAGTCATTCCGCTGACCTCTCCACTCCCTGCTCAGCTGGTTTGGGTTTGGGTTCTGGTTCCTTTGAAAGAAGGTCTCTGTCTCTGGGACTCTTGCCACATCTACCCCTCCCACCGCAAAGCCAGCTTGGACTGGGAAGGATCCTTTGGGCCACCTTTAAATGCCCACCAGGAGTGGCGAGCTAGAGGCCTGCTGGCTTGTGAAATGAGCCCTCCTGCCATACTGGGCCTCTCTGATGGCTCGCCTCTTTTCCTGCTCCCCTGATACAAGGATCCCTAGGCAGATGTCCCCGTCCCCTACCTCCCTCCAACTGGTATCAAAGGGGAGCAAGTTCAGTATTAGCTGAATGCCATCTTGCCAGCTCCACTCAATCAGCCCACAGTGTTGGCGAGCTCTGCTCAGCGACTGGAAAGTGGACTCCACAGCAGGACTGATGTTCCTTCCTGTTTGCACCCCCCCCACTGTACTGTATATACAGAGTTTAAGGTTATTTTTAAGTGAGTATTCAACTTGATGTGTATTTCAACATGGTGAAAGAAATTAATGATAACGGTATTTATAAAGGTGCCCTGGGACCTTTAGTCTTCCAAGGGGGGTGGTCTCCACTTCGGGTGGAACCAAGAGCCTCGGGGTAGAGGACTGACAAAGCCCATGGTCCTTCTTGTATGGGTAGAGGGCGGCTGCCCTTCCCTACAGTTAATATTATACACCTACCTCCAGTGTGCACGTGGGGTTAGCACGGTGCCGAGGGCTGCAATGACCCCAGTGACAAGGTGGAGACCTCAGCCCTCACATCTACAGCTCTGGTCTTGGTGCCTGCTGAGCATGATCTCGCACCCCAAACCTCAAGTTCATTTCAGAAGGAAATTCAGGTGGGGTTCCCTCCACCCCCATCTAAGCCTTCCTCACTGGTTTGCGGGGCTCTCAGCAGTAGCTCTCAGTCTTTTTGCACTAGGGTGGGCAGAGGTGGTATGTGCCCATCGGATAAATGCTTCTCCAGTACGCAGCTGAGTGTCCACGACTCCTTGTATAAATTACCCACCTCTCAATTTTCCTTTTTTGGGGAGCAGAGACAGGAGTAGGGCAGGAATTTGAAACTGTCACTTTCTTGTGAACTGGTAGCACACTTTAGCCATAGGCAGCTGTGACGTATGCTGTGTGGGACATATATGCTAGTGGGGTTTTCCCAAAGAAAGAAGGCGTTCAGCTCTAGAGCAGGCTTGACTCTGGCCAAACCCTGAGCCACTGTGAATTTGCTGGTGTTCTTCCGATTTACTGGAGTGATTTTAAGGTTTTCAAATCTTATATGGCTCTTTTTTTAAATCTCTAGCCGATAGATTACATGTAGATAGGTGTATATACAGCTAAATTTGAGCAATTTTATTACTGAGACTAGCCTCCCTGGGCATCGGTCTTTGAAGTTCCCTCCATGCTTTGGAACTGGCGATGCCTGGCACACTCCTGAGAGCTCTAGTTTTCCATTCCAGTTTGCTCCAGCATTGCAGGGACTCTAAGATGGAGGCCAGGTTGCCCAGGTTAGTCCAGTGTACTTTGTCCCAGGAAATATTGTGTGTACAGACTGGCATGGCCTCACCCTCCTAGGTGTGTCTCACCATAGGAGATTGCTGTGATCCGGAGAGTTAAGTATATGCTAATTTAAAATGCACATTATTTTGTGTTTGATTTCTACAGAGTTGAAATGTTCAGAGATTTTAAAAAAAACTAAATAAAGTGTCTTCCATTGTTAAACAAAGTGTTGATGGTGTTACAGCTCCCTTTTGTGGCTTCCCTCATTTGCAGCAACACTGGCCCTCCAAGCCATTGTCCATTCAAGTGACAGGACTCAGAAACTGTCTGGTCATCTGGGGGAGATGGAAACCAGGCTCAAGGGTCAAGCTGCCCATTTCCCCAAAGTGGGGGTTGTGTTCTCTGGGAGTAATCGTTGTTGGTGGCTACAGACATTATTAAGATCCCTCCCTCCAGATTTCTCTAATTAAAGGCATGATCTACCACACCACACCCGGTCAGTGACTCCTTTCTTTTTTTGGTTTTTCGAGTCGGCTTCTCTGTAGCTTTGGAGTCTGTCCTGGAACTAGCTCTTGTAGACCAGGCTGGCCTTGAACTCACAGAGATCCACTTGCCTCTGCCTGGGATTAAAGCCCTGTGCACCACCACTGCCCAGCTTCCTTTTTCTTTTTTAACTTAAAAAAAAAAAAGGTTAACAATGGTTAAGAATTGGGAGGCAGAGGCAGGCAGATCTCTGTGAGTTCGAGACCAGCCTGGTCTACAAGAGCTAGTTCCAGGACAGGCTCCAAAACCAGAGAAACCCTGTCTCAAAAAACCAAAAAAAAAAAAAAAAAAAAAAAAGCCGGGCGTTGGTGGCGCACGCCTTTAATCCCAGCACTCGGGAGGCAGAGGCAGGCGGATCTCTGTGAGTTCGAGACCAGCCTGGTCTACAGAGCTAGTTCCAGGACAGGCTCCAAAGCCACAGAGAAACCCTATCTTGAAAAACCAAAAAAAAAAAAAAAAAAAAAAAAAAAAAAAAGGTTAAGAATACTGGCTGCTCTTCCAAGGACCCAGGTTCAATTCTCAACACCCTCTTCGGGCCTCTGGTGCATACATACATACATATATGCAGGCAAAACACCCACACACAAAATTTTAAAAATTGTTTCATGTGTGTTTTTGTTTCCATCAAGCTCAAGTCTGTCACATTCTGGGTTGTGGGGGGGGGGGTGTTGAAGTCAGGGCCTATGGTATGTTAGACAAGTGATGTGCTGCTCAACTAGTCTGTGCCAGCCCAGACTGATGTGTCTCTAAGATGCCTTTGCTACCGAGGCTGCCCTGCAGGGCCTTTTCTGTTGTGCGAGAGAGGTATGTATGTATGCATGTTTGCACGTGCACGTGCATATGTGCAAGCCCTTGGTGTGATAGCTCTCCACCATTGAGGTGTGGTATCGGTTAAACCCAGAGCCCATGGATATAGTGAGTCTCACAGAAGCTAGTTTGACAGGATTACCAGTGTCTGAGCTTTGCTTAGTCCAATCCTGCTGTCACATGTTCTAGACCCTCCCCGATTCCTTCCTATAGTCATGCATCGTTCCCAGGTGCTACCAAGGCTGAGGTGTTGCGGGGGTCCTTCCACTCCTCTAGCCAATAGCCGCTGAGACACCAGCCCATTGGGGCGTGGTCTCTCTCCCTTTAAAAAAGCGGCTATTTCCCTTTTCGCTCTCTTTACTTCCTGCTCCGGTACCCGCGACTTCAGCGGCTATTTCCCTTTTCGCTCTCTTTACTTCCTGCTCCGGTACCCGCGACTTCTTCCTGATTGCGCAGAGGGCTGTTGTCTGGGACGGTGATCTGTAAGTTTTTTCCCCTTTAAATAAATACCACCCTATTAATCATAATTCCAAACTGGTGTGGGATTGTTTATGATTTACGCCTTCATCTGGCGCCCAACGTGGGGCCCGAATCCACGACCCTGAGATTAAGAGTCTCATGCTCTACTGACTGAGCTAGCCGGGCGACCAGGAGCTGGGGCGGCAGGAACACAGCCCGCAGCTCCCACAACAGCTGAGGACAAGCCCTTCCTTACAGTGGGCCAGTTTAGCGCATAAGTGAAGCGTAGCCTGGTTCTGACACTCCAGTCTTCACTGGCAACATTTCAGGGTCTGTGTGGACAGGTGGAGGAGGGTGATGTGGGATAGTGGGTCATGCAGGGGTCCAGTTCTAATTTATGTGTGTAAGGCTTGTTTGTTTCTAAAAGAATTTTTTTTAAATCTATTTATTTATTTTGAGACAGGGTTTCTCTGTGTAGCCTGGCTGTCCTGGAACTTGCTCTGTAGACCAGGCTGGCCTTGAACTCACAAAGATCCACCTCCCGAGTGCTGGGATCACAGGCGTGTACCACCACTGCCTGGCTTAAAATCTTATTTTTTTCTGTATATAGTGTTCTGCCTACATGCCGGAAGAGCGCACCAGATCTCATTGTAGACGGTTGTGAGCCATTTGGTTGCTGAGAACTGAACTCAGGACTTAATAACCTGAGCCATCTCTATAGCTACCTCCCCGCCCCAAATATATATATTTTTTTAATGTATGGGTATTTTTGTCTGTATGTTTGTGTATTATATGCATGCAGTGCCCCCTGAGGCCAGAAGAGGGCATGGAATCCCTTGGAATTGGAGTTAAGGTAGCTGGCTGAGAGCCAGATCTGCTGGGACTGGAGCCCAGTCCTCTGTGAGAACAGCCAGTGTTCAGAGAGACAGACAGACTGCTTCAGCAGGAGGCATGGTGAGCCCATTGAGGCCACTATTCCCTACTTAGCTGTCATTTCACTCAATGCTAACATGTGGGTACTCCAGTTCTGTTAGCAACTGGATCATTGCTGTCCCTGTGGTGGTGTGAATCTAGACGTGAAAAACCACGCTGAACTGAAGGAACACACAAACCACATAAACATTTTCTGGTTTTTGCAAGAATGTCTCTCTAATCATTGTTAGCTGGTGTTCATGGAGCCCAGGCTGGTCTCAAACTTGAAGCAAATGCTTGAATTTTAAATACCTACCACCATACCATAGCTGCATGTGAAACAAACTGATCTGGTTAAATGTGTGCCTCGATTATAAAAACCCGATTTGTTCCCCCAAAGACACATTAGAATGCCAGATGTGGGACTAGAGATGTCTTGGAGACTGCTTGCCACTCTTGTGTGGCTACCTGTAATTCCAGCTCATAGTGGCACACGCCTGTAAGCCCAGCACTCAGGAGACAGGTGGATCTCTGGATTTGAGGACAGATAGGAATACACAGAGAAATTCTGTCTCAAAGCACAAACCAAAAAAATGCTCTGCCATCCTCATGAACCCTCCCTTCTGGGCTTCAGAATGGCTGCCGTTAAGTCCAAGTTTTACACCTGCATATAAGGGGAGGAACCATGAGTGCTGCTCTCTCTTGCTACGCTGGGTCTGAGGCCTTCCTCAACAAAGGGACTGACAGGAGTGCTGGCCTGGGACTGTGCCTAGCTTTTCAGAGACCCATCAAAGCCAAAGGCCCAGAGACACCACGGAGAACTCAAGTGTAGTTTGTAGGAGTATGTGTGTCTTTTCTGCTTTGCCGTTTTTCGGACTAATTTTGTCTAATCAAGGATGGCTCAAAATTGAGGCCATCTTTCTGTCTCAGCCTCTTTAGTGTTGATTATACAGTATGTATGGCAGCATAGTGTGTAGCCCTGGTTAGCCTGGAATTTGCAATGTAGGCCAAGCTGGCTTCCAACTCAGATTTCTGCCTGTCTCCCAAGTGCTGGGATTGAAGGCATGCACCACCACACCCAATACAGCATGTTTTTAGCGTGCACTAAGTGTGCATACTCTTCCTCAGACTAAGTTCCTTCATGGGATGGTTTGGAGGCTCTGGGACTCTTTTCTCCACCGCTTCTGGTCTCAGAGGAAGTTATTTCTTCCTGTTTCTCCCCTCTACCTTGAGGGCTTTCTCTGGAGTTGCCCAGGTTATCTTTCAGTGGGACTGAGCCCTCTCCTCCAGGCTGGCACTACTCAGAGAAACTCCTAGTCATCTTCAAGGCCAAGGCACCCTGAGACGTTGGTCTGTTGCTCACCTGTGTGTTCCCTGACTTAAGCTAATTAAGTTACTGCGCTGGGAGATGGCACACTAGGGCTAGGGCAGCTTTCCCTGACAGGGCCAGGCTACAGAGAGGCTCGTGTCCTGCATCCTTGGTGCATCGTCAGCCTGCAGCTGGCGCCAGGTAGATATGGGTGCCCCCTCAGTCTCTCAGCTGCAGGTGGGGGTGGGGGAAATCTCAGAGCTAGAAACCAGGAAATTGGTTTTTGCCCTGTGTGTGCATGCACAGGACCTTACATAAGGCCTCCCTTCGTGAGCTGAGGACCAGAGAGGCTCTGGCTCCTCAGTCATGTGGATTTAATGGAGAAGTTTTCCATTTTTCTGCAGGTAGACAGCTGTAAAATCAATGGGCAACCAAGTAGCAGTAGGCACTGAGAGGCCTGGAGCTCTGGGAGGAAGCCATGGTTGATAGGAGCATTCTGCCTCGCATGTGGCTCATTGAGGACCAGAGATGTACTCTTAAACATTGCACTTCTTGGAACATGCCTAATGCTGTCCTGGAGAGCTGTGGGGACCCAAAGCCACATCCAGGAGTGTGCAAACCCAGCTTTTGCAAAGTCACTGACACAACTGAGCAGCTCTGGTTCCACAGCCTTTTATTTCTAACTATTCAGGGACGTGGTGAGGGGAGGGAGGCAGGCAGGTGAGGGGGGACTCCAGCAGAGTGACACAATTCGCACTGCTCAGGCCCAGGCCCCTTCCAGAAAGCAGCAAAGGGTCCCTCAGGTCCCAGGGACTTCACACACATGGCTCCCACCTGCCTCCCCAAACAACAGAAACGTTGCTCCTCCAAAGCCTTCCACTGTCAGAGAATAAAGGAACCCAGGCTTGTGAAGAGAGCCTTTAACCTCTCTCTGGTGAGGTAGGAGATTCCACCAGTCCCCACCCAGTACCATGGCTGGAGATCAGGGCTACAGCTATCAACAGTGGCCTGTCCCACCATGACTGCACATGATCATGCCTCGGTGAGGAGGCCACAGCACCTCCCTCGTCTGAAACTGGGTGGACAGGTGGGAGGGCTAGGTGAAGAAGCAGGGGCACCACAAGGCCCTCCTTCCCTCCTACCATTCAGTTTTAGGTAACACAGCCTGGTTCTGGGACCCTGAGAGAACCCAGTGACTTGCTGCTGCTACCGCTTGGACCTGGTTTCCTGGGCACCAGCCAGCAGAGAAATCAAGCTGCTATTTCTGAGAGAATGGGAAGGGCTCCTGTCTCCATGTGGCATCTTAGAAACCTCATGGATGGCAGACACTACTGAATTCCTCCTCACATGGGAGCCAGGAACAGCTGATCTCTATCATATGTACCTCCACAGCTAAGGGGGAGGGGTCTGGGCAGCAGCCATCCAGCTCAGAACCTACCGTGGACATGTAGACCTAGTAGTCCTTAGGGTGGGTTTTAAGAAGGCTTCTCTGCTCAGTCTTGGCATTCTACTGCACAGAAACGAATCTGCACATCAGGCCGTCAGCCTGTCAGGTTTCACCCCAAAGTGCTGGAAGCTGTTCGGAGGAACCCTGTGACCTTAACACTGCAGAAAGGTCACTGATCCCAAGAATTGGCTCCAACACACTGCAGGGATGCGCCACCAGGAACTTCAGGGTGGGGCCTGCCCACTGGCTAAAGTGCCAGATCTCCAAGGGCAGCCATGCCCCTCACTCTGAAGTATTACCTTCTGTGTGCTCAGCTGGCCTGTCCCTTGGCCTAGACCTGAAATCTGCAGTACAACTGGGTCCCCTTCTACCATACACATCCACTGCTGCACACAACAGGATGGGCAGGTCTGAGAAGGTGGTAGTAACCATTTGTTTCTCTTCTGAGAAATCCCCTCTAGAGCTATGCTCCCTGGCCATGGGCCCTTGAGGGCTGGGCACTCTCCCAGCTGCTAAGCCCACATTCCCCAGGAAGGGGCAGAGGTGCCTGCTGGTGTTCAGGGCTGGTGCAACAGTCCTCCCACCAAGTTCCCAGAAGATCACTTCATGTCTTGGCCAAGAGTGCCGTGTCAGAGACCTGGTGACAAGGGCTGAGTAAGTGACACCCCAGTGCCTCACTGCTCAAGGAAAGCACTGAGCTTGGAAAGCAACTTCCATCTTAGAGACAGAGCCTGAGTTCTGGAAAGAGAAGAATCCAGCTTGACCTCAGTCCCACCCCCAATTACACAAGGCCACGGGTGGCTCCAGCTCCAGGGTTAAAGTGAGAGACAGGGGAGAGGACCATATCTTGGCTATGCCAAGGATAAGTGACCTTATGTACAGAAACAAACTACACGCTTCCAACTCTGCCACCTTCTGCAGCAAGTGAGGTGGAGAGCTGTCTTCTAACAGCAGAACCACAGCACCTGAGGTGGGAAACACCTGCAACTAGCCCACTCAGGCCCACTGTGTCCCCATTGTGAGGACAAGGCCATACACAACAACTAAGCCACCTGGGGTGCAAGGAACTATGGCCACATGAGTAGTTGCTGAAGGGCCATGGAAGGGGAGACTGCAGCAGCTATAAAAGAGCAGGTGAGGACATGAGGCAGTAACCATTGCCTGTGGTGTGATCCAGCACGCCTTACACTGACACATGCATGGGAGTGTGTTTGTGTGACCCAAAGTCACTGGCATCCCAAGAGGCAATTGGCTGAAGTAGGGAGCCCTGGTCTCAGCGGCTGTGCTCTGGCCCCTGCCCCAGTGTCTTGGAGATCTGGGGTCCTGGCACGGAGGGCAGAGGACAAGGTGAGGGAGGAGGCAGTGGTGAAGAGGAGAGAGGATATGGAAGTAGCTCCGACACTTGGGAAAGGTGCCCCCAAGGATTCTGTGCTTCCAGGGTCAAAAGACCCCCTTTGTCTCTTTGGAGAGTAGTCCATCCAAACCCGGGGGATAGGCCAACAACACCTTTCCTAGAAGCCTGCAGGCTGATCCCTACCAGGCACCAGTGTAAACATTTGCAGTATGCCCACAAGAGGGCTGCAACTGTCTGCCCAAAGGCAGGCCTGAGAGGTGCCAGTTCCATGGCAAGAAAAAGGTCCTTCAGCCTTTCTTTTGGGGGACACAGGACAGGGACTGTGGGGCTTTTAAAGTCTCTCAGCCTTGGCACCAGGCCTGAGACTGCTGCTGCCGCCGCTGCCACCACCACCAAGGCACCTTGACAATGCAGAGACAAACAGCAGATGTGCCTGCCAACAGCTGCTCCAGAGGTGTAAGGAAGGTGTGGCCCTGGCACGGTGTGAGCTGAGCAAGCCAGCCTCCCAAGTTTTCTCTGGGCCTGGCACAGAAGCAGGAAGGAGGCTGGCTGCTGCCCTCCTCTGCTCTGCAAGCCCAGATACACCAGGGCAGGTCTGGCTCATGAGCCATGGAGGCCAGTCACATTCCCAAAGTCAGCACTCTCCAAGGGCCTGAGGCTTCCTAGCTAAGACTAGCCCTCAACCTACCATCCCGTGTTCTGAGAAGGCTGCACGAGGCATCATCTTCTGGGCATAGAGCACCGTGGGCTCAGAATAGCTCCTGCTCATCATCCTCAGAGCCCGACGGGCCCTGGCGGACCTCCTCATACCACTTGTTGGTGAGGCTTTTCATCTGGATGCGCCCATGGTGGAGGTCCTGGAGCAAGACAGGTAAGCGTCAGTGACAAGAGGCTGCTGTGAAGGTTGGAGGTAACAGGAGGGCCTGCTGAGAACTGAGGGATGGAGGGGAAATGGCATTTTAGAAACTCAACCTTAGGAATTAGGTAAGCCTCGTCTGCCAGCTTTGGAACATGTTGCCCTGTGCATGTGAGCTTTCCCTGGGCCTCACTTTCCCATGCTGTCAAGTGAGATAACATGCTTTGCTGCTTAGCTGTTGGAGGACATGGTCTTGGGGGTGTGAGGGGCTGCTGTGGAGAGAGGGAGAGCAGCCAGGAGAGCCCGCCACTCCTGGAGGAGGCAGCTGCAGTGCCTGGAGGGCCAGGGTCACAGGCTGATCTAAGACTTCTTGGCTCAGCATCAGAAGCTGATTCATGTCCCTGAGGGCAGCAGGGAAATCTAAACTGTTGTTAGCCATCTTCCAAGGCGTGCAGCGAAGGAAAGGCAGCAGGGTCAGAGCTAGGCTGCTTACTAGCCTCCAGCAGCGACTTCCCTCCCCACCCCTGGCCACTGCAGGCCTGACGGGAGACAAGGGATTCCTGATATGCCCACCTCCTGTGTCAGCCGCCGTGTGAAGAAGGGGTTCAGGTACTTGGCGTCCAGCCACATGAAGCCTTTGAGGTCCTGCTGTCTGATGTAGTGGGCTTCATATTCCTCCTCGGTGAGCTCAGACAGGTGCTCTGACTCAATGGCATTGCCCTGTGTGACAGAGCTGGCAGTGTGAGCAGGCACTTCCCTGGGAGCCCCCACTCTGCCTTCCTTCCAGAATGTCAACCCTAACACATACTACCCTAGTATAGGTGATCACCAAAGGGCTCGCAAAGCTTACTCTCTGCAGGGAGGTCCAATGACAAGTTTGGAGCATAGGAGTCTCCAAAGTTGTAAAGCCCTGCTTGCCTGGGCCTACAGTGCAGAGGACAGTGGAGGAGTGCATGGTCAATCTCTGGGGTCTGAGAGCATCTTCAGGGCTACACATTTCAGCCCCAGCTGTAATTCCTGTGACAGCAGGTTAGCGGGAAGGCTACCACATCTGCACACTTACTAACTTCCTATACTGCTGCTGGTTTGGCGACTCTCCACTCAAAACCTAGTTAGAACAGGCTCTGACTGGAACCTTTTTCATGCCTCGGTGTCCTTCTCACCTGCAGATTGGGGACTATGAAAGTCCCTGCTTGTGGGGACGAGGCAGAAATCCTTAATAAATAAATAAATTTAAAAAAAAAAAAAAAAAAAAAAAAAAAAAAAAGAAAGTCCCTGCTTCCTGTAGAGTCCAAGTGCCTTAGCCACAACACTGTTATGGTTGTCCAAGAGGGACTATAGCCTTGGCAGAAATGTCAACCTACACAAGGATCCCATCTGTAATTCCCAGTACTTGGGAGGTAGAGGCAAAAACATTGCAAGGCAGCTGTAGCCACAACACAGCCAAGCCCAGCTTAATCTACAGTGAGCCCATATCAAAACACAAAAATGGGCTGGAAAGATGGCTCAGTCATTCTGAATTATTGCTGCTTTTCCAGAGGACTGCAGTTCAGTTCCCAGTACCCATGTTAGGCTCATCATTGCTTGTAGCTCCAGTTCTGGAGGATCTAATGCTTTCTTAATGCATTCATGGGCATGAGTACATGTACACGTGCGTGCACAGGTGAGCACACACACAGCTCTTACACATACACAGACAGATACAGACTTTTAAAAAGTTGAAAATAAGGAAACAAAAACAACAAGAACAAAAAAGTAAAAATCACAACACAACCCCAAGTAAACTGGTTAGCCAGAAGATGGAAAGAAAGGGCTCTGGGCATGAGAAGGACCTGCAGAGTCCAAGGCTGGCTACCTAGAGGAAAGGCCCTGGACCAATGGCCCTGACTGTCCCATTCCAGATAGCACTTTGATGACTGACCCAAGTTACTGACATCTTCCTCAAAGAGGGAGACTAGAAGGAAATGCACCTCAGAATGCAGAGGATGGGTGGAAGGGTGGGTCAGGAGTCAGGGTTGCTGCCGTGAGGAAGGAAGGGCAGGGAGCCAATGCAAGGTGGTCCCAGCCTGAGAGTAGGCAGCAGGAGGTGACTCTCAGGAAGCAGAGATGTGCAAGGGGACACAGAAGCCTCAGTTTCCAATGTCTGGGCCGTGAACCCCTCTATCCCTAAACCATGACCCCTGTGTCCTTGAGGATGCCACCTTGAGCTGATCCCTCAGCTATAAGCCATCATCCTCTTGGTCCCTATCGAGAGGTATAAATGCACACTGAAGAATACCTAATTTTGAAACCATCTGGTCCCTGACCTGGGCTTCTGGCTCAGCTCCTGGCGGCTGAGGCACTCTCCCAGGACTCTGGCATAGGACCAGGCTCTACTTCAAATGTCCTGAGCTACAGATGGCATCAGTTCTCAGCTGCTATGGCTTCAGCAGGTCACAAGGCTGGTACACACCCTACCCCAGAGAGTTATGCTTCAGAAGCCAAGTTGCCGCACCTGTTCTCAGGCCTGCACTGCTGACCCTGGGGTAAGTAAATGCATATGCAAGAGCCTGACTTGCTCTCCCTGGCAGACAGGCCACAGGGCCCACAGCTGCACTAACCATCTTCTCAGTCTTGCTGAGGTTGACGTCCTTCTTGTTCCTGCGGCGTGCCCGGGCATCCTCAATGTCCACAAGGCGGATGAGAGGCATGGTGCTGCCTCCCAGGAGCAAGATGGTGAAGAGCACAATGACAATGGTGGTTGTGCCGATGAGCTGTCGCTTCTCCATGGGCTCCAGGCCCAGATGCAAGCTCAGGGCATAGGGGATGGCCCCTCGAAGGCCTGGAACGGTAAATGGAGATTCAGGGCCAAGCCAGAAGCAGGGAGAGAAGAGAGAAGAAAGTGGCTCTAGCTTAGCACCACTAACAGCAGGACCTGCAGAAATGGCCTAGGATGTGAGATAGCAGGGCAGACAGGTTCAAGTCCCTTGTATGTTCTGCATGGCTGGTTCCAGACAAGGTGACCACAGCCATGGCACTGTGTAGCAGGCGTACTTGGGGACTCATCAGATCTGTCATATGACAGAGATGGTAGCTGAGTCCTACCTGGGTGTCCCAGACCCCCAACTAGGTGTTCTGTGCACAGACAGGGCTGTCTGCCACAGAAACCTGCCTAGCAGGTGCTGCCACTCTCCACAGAACCCAGGCGGGGACCAGCCTAGAGTATGTGCAGCAGACCCAGGCAGCAGTGAGAGTATGATTTGCCTAGTGACTCTCCTATCGGTAGAGCTTACTGGCAATGATGACAGGACTAGGGTGTGGGCAGAGCTGGAGCCAGTTGCTCTGTACCATACACACAGAGCAGAGGCTCCTGAGCCTCCAGAAGCTCCCAGAGCAGCTAGGTCAGTAAACACAACACTAAATTCAGAAGAGTCACTGGGAAAAGAGACCACAGTGGGGCAGCTCAGACATGTAAGGGGGGGGGGGGGCTCTGAGAAGCTTGGCTGCTGCAGGAGTCCAGACCTGAGATGGCCAGGAGGCCAGGATTCAGAGATATAAGCAGGGCGAGCTACTCTTCTCCAAACCTACAAGGGTCACAGGATGAGGGGACCGACACATGTGACAGGCTCAGTGTGCACATATGTCTAGCAGGGCTAGGGAGGGAGCGATATATACCAATCCACCGTGCTGCTTCCCATGGAAGGGAGGGCAGGCTAAGCAGCAGGCAGGCAGTGGGCTCTGGCTCAAGGAACTCACTGTGGCCCATGACACCCAGAAGTAGAAAGGAGTAGGAACTGGGTTCCAAAGGAAGGGCTGGTTTGGAGAGCTGGACAGATGGAAAGGCCAGATCAGGAAGTCCAATACTGTCAGAACACAGGTTCAGAAAGAGGTGGGGCCAGGACCCAGGATGCCCCTGTCTGGGATCGGTGTGGGAAGGGCTGAGTGGGAGGCTGGGGAGGTGTCTTTGGTATACTGGCAACAGTAGTGGGAAGAGGGAGCCTGAAGCCCAGCAGATACACTAGGTCATGGGTTGATTCTGCAGAAGCCACTGGAGAGCTGCTTAGGGCCAAGGCCAGCACAGCAGACGGGAACAGAGGTGGAGAAAATGAGGACAGAGTGAGGAGCTGGGGCTGGGAGAGTAGCCTTGGTTTTGACTGGGAGGAGACATTAACTGTTTAAATGATAATTCCAGCACTTGGAAGGCAGAGGCAAGGAGAATGGCTGCAAGTTCAAACCTAGACTCCATTGCAAGTTTCAGGTCAGCTAGACCTCTACATGTTTATGTGAGACGGGTTCAGGTTGGACTCAAGCTAGAAATCCATCTGCCCTGTTCTTCCAAGTAGCTGGCATTACAGTTAAGTGCCAGTGTACTTAGCTCAGTTTTTATAATAAGGCCTTTTTGAAGAAAAAGAATTATGAGGCAAATTGTAGTAAACATTATGAAGCACTTCAACCCACATGGAAATATTCAGTTATATTTACTTATTTTATTTTTTGAGATAGTCTCACTCTGTAGCCCTGGCTGGCCTGGAACTCACAGAGATCTGCCTGTCCCTGCCGGGATCATGTCCTGTGCCTCCACACCTGACTAATGACTTAAATAGGAAGAGTCCAGAGAGTTAAAGTTCCTAAGGGACTGGTACTTTAGAGCTGAATATTGACAAAGTCACTCTAATCTTGAGAAAGTAGAGAAGTGTGATTGACAGGAAGCTGCAAGGCTCAAGATTCAGCTATGGGCCCTGCAGCAGCAGAAGTAGTAACTGGATAGCATCAGGAGGCTGTGGGTCGAATCCCCATGATCAGCACCACCCCACCCCACACACCATGCTACACAGGCCTGCCAAGGCTGTGTGCATGGGGCTGGACAGGTTCTTGCTTTGCCTCCAAGGGTTCCTGGATGCTAAGCATCATCTTTGCCCTCCTGGAACCTGAGCATCCTCATTCCAGAGTTGGAAAAGGGCCAACCACTTCATGGTGCTGTGACAAGGTGCCATCTGGTAACACCTGTTGGAGCCTGGCTTGTCAGGGGCCCATGTATGCAGCCCAGGTTTAGGCCCGCCCACCCTGGCTGCCACTCACCACTGAACCACATGATGAACATCATCTTGGGGGTGATTTTGTGATCTCGGAAGAAGTTCAGCAGGTAGGACAGAGGGAAGATGTTGACAGCTCTGCCGAACAGTACCAGTACCTGTTGATATCAATGTATCAATGTGCTCAATGCAGGTGGAATCCACTGCACCTTCAGGCCAACATCAGTGTAACACACCTGTCTAAGGTAGTCCTGCCTTCAGCTAGAGACCCCAACATCAGGGTAACATACCTGTCCTAAGGAAGTCCTGTCTTCAGCTAGAGACCAACATCAGTGTAACATACCTGTCTAAGGTAGTCCTGTCTTCAGCTAGAGACCAACATCAGTGTAACACACCTGTCTAAGGTAGTCCTGTCTTCAGCTACAGAGACCCCAACATCAGTGTAACACACCTGTCTAAGGTAGTCCTGTCTTCATCTAGAGACCAACATCAGTGTAACACACCTGTCTAAGGTAGTCCTGTCTTCAGCTACAGAGACCCCAACATCAGTGTAACACACCTGTCTAAGGTAGTCCTGTCTTCATCTAGAGACCAACATCAGTGTAACACACCTGTCTAAGGTAGTCCTGTCTTCAGCTACAGAGACCCCAACATCAGTGTAACACACCTGTCTAAGGTAGTCCTGCCTTCAGCTAGAGAGGCTCCAACAGTCAGAGCCTCACACAGTGCTGCTGCCCTGGCTCGGCCAGGGTGGAGCTTTTCAGTCTGACCTTTTGTCTCAGATGCTAAACGACGCTAGAAGCATCATCCTAGGTTTTAGTCACACAGCCTCAGAACAAAGGCAGCACCACCAGGCTCCCAGTGGGGCCTAGAGACAAAAAGGAATCCATAATGGGGTGGGCTTCTGCTAATCCTCCCCACTGTGGCACTGTGGGGAAGGGGATGCAGGTACTTCTGCCTTTGCTCTGGGGTCTGGCTCCTCAGAGCAAGGAGGACGGGCTGAGTGAGGCCTACCTGGGAGCACAAAGGTGGCTCAAGTCCTGGGCCTATTGTGGGGTAAAGCCTCCTACTTTAACCAACCACAGCACCAAGGGGCTGGGGTAAGGGCTGTGCTCCAAGCATTTGCTTCTGCACAAGGCCCTGGGTTAGATCCCAGCAACTCAGAAACTGTCAGAGTTTCTGTGAAAGGCCTTCCCCAAGGCTTTCCCCCAGACCTGTGCTCACAGGACAGACTGACATAGGCAGGCAGCCACTCTAAATGGAGGTCACATGGGAACGGGAAAGAGTCAAAAGGACCCAAGAAAACTGGGGTCTCATTCAGTTGAACACATTTCTCCTTTCCTTTGAGGCAGGTTCTGCCTGTGAGCCTAGGCTGTTCTTGAACGTGCCATGTAGTTAAAACTGCCCTTAAGGCCGGGTGATGGTGGCACACGCCTTTAATCCCAGCACTCAGGAGGCAGAGGCAGGCAGATCTCTGGGAGTTCAAGACCAGCCTGGTCTATAGAGCTAGTTCCAGGATAGGCTCCAAAGCCACAGAGAAACCCTGTCTCGAAAAATAAATAAAAAAAAAAACAAAACAAAAAAAAACTGCCTTTAAGACTTCTTCCTGGGGCCGGGCGGTGGTGGCGCACGCCTTTAATCCCAGCACTGGTCTATAGAGCTAGTTCCAGGATAGGCTCCAAAGCCACAGAGAAACCCTGTCTCGAAAAACAAAACAAAACAAAACAAAAAAAAAAAAAAAAAAAGACTTCTTCCTGGGGGCCTGGAGAGAACATCAGTGCACATAAAATAAAAATAAATAAATCATTAAGAAACATTTTTATTGTCTTTTCTTGAGACAGGGTCTCATTGAGTATGTAGTCTGGAACTTGCTACACAGACCAGGGTGGCCTTAAACTCACAGAGATCTGCCTGCTTCTGCTTCCCAAGTGTTGGGATTAAGGGCATGCAGCATCACACCCAGCTGGCCTTAAACTCTTAATCCTCCTGCCTCCATTTCCCAAGTGCTGGGGTTATGGGCACCCACTGACATGCTCTGGCTAAGACTGTACTGTTTGAAGGCGACCACACCATTCAAGGACACTGAAAATGTAAAACGTCCAGATGCTTATGTCTGGGATTTTTTAAAGAAAAGACATTTTCAACAGAATCATTTCTCTGTAGTTGTCAGCTCTGAACTGGTCACAGTTATATAGATGGTTCCAGACCATGTAGTTGATATTCTAACAATAAACATTCAATAAAAACAAGAAAATACTTACTATGCACCAAATGACAAAGGAAATTTCAAACTTGTGAGGGAAACTAAAAATGGACAGGCCAAGAAATGCAAACACACATGTTTCTGAAAGAAATCAAAGAATGGATTATTCACCCCAGTTCCTTTCTTACAACCCAGTAGTAACTTAAAGCAGGCATTCCCAAAGCCACACCAACAGCCATCTTATTTTCTTGCACTAGATACTGTGGTTAGACTTTGTACTTAGTATTTTTTGGGGGGGCGGGGTAGATGGAATGAGATAAGGTCTTGCTATCTGGCCCAGGCTGGCCTAGATGCAATCTGAGTGCTGGGATTGCAGGTGTGAACCACCATGACCAGCTTCCCCCTTTACTGTGTCTCTGCTATTGACAATTTCCCAACATAATGAGTAAGCTGTCAGGTATTGTATGCAAATAAACAAGCTCCCACCCGTGTATCTGCTGAACACTGAATCAGTCAGGGTCCTACATGGCTCAAAGTGGCAAGAATTCCAAGCATTTGAATGTAGGTGCATATGACAAGTGAGAAAGGGGGCTTTAGTTAACTCCCTCCCAGTTCATCGTGCCAACAGCACCCACTGGTGGACAGAATGTACTGGTGTTGGCTGGAGGTTCAAGAGGCAGCAAATCCACAGGGTTAGCTTGTGGGAAGGACCCATTTGCAGGCTTAGTCACACTTGGTGCAAAAACTTGTGTGTGCTAAAAAGAGCACCTCATAAATTTCCAGGCTCCTGATTAAACTACAGGGCCCAAAAGAAGAGCCCAACACCTAAGGAGATAGGGATTGCATTTTAAAATGTGCACATCAGCTGCTGAGGCTATTTAAATCACTTCAGTGGCGTTTGCAGTGGCTTGTGTATTCTTCAACACAGCACTAGCAGGGTGCTTGTCCCTCCCCTCCCTGAGACACCTTAAATAATAATGTGCGATCCTTCAAGCCAGTGCATTCAGGCCTACTCCACTTCTCCCTAGCAGCGGGAAGTGTGGTGGACTTAAGCCATCCTTTCAGAGTGGCCACATAAGCTGCTTCTGGCAATGCAAGCTACATGAAGGCAGCCTAGTGCGCTGGCTAACCTCCTCATGGAGAGCAGGTCAGGAGAAAGCACATGCCTGGTGAATTCCCATGAATGCTGTGATGGAGTTTCAGAGGAGATGGTATGCATGTACAGTCTCAGAACTGAGTACTAACTAGAGCTGGTCAGGGGCACAAAACAGAAGCCAAGAGGTGTGCTGTTCTCTGCTCCACCCTGTGAGGACCAGGTCAGAGCCTTTGGCCAAGGCTTTCTGGTAAGAGCTGCAGATCAGCCAGGTGGTGGTGACGCATGCCTTTAATCCCAGCATTCAGGAGGCAGAGGCAGGTGGATCTCTGTGAGTTCGAGGCCAGCCTGGTCTACAAGAGCTAGTTCCAGGACAGGGTCCAAAGCCACAGAGAAACCCTGTCTTGGGGGGGGAGGGTGGAGCTGTGGATCAAACAGCCATTGGGGCACTAGAGGGCTGTCTTCTAGCTTGTACCTTGGCAATGGGCTATCTGGCCTCTCCTTACCCAGCTTCCCTACCTTGTAGACAACCCTGCCATCCCCGGCTCCAAAGTGAAACAAGGCCCCTCAACACCAGGGAATGCTAAAATTGCAGCTGAGGTCTAGCCCCAGCGCATATGCACGCCTGAGCAGTTTAGAGGGATGGTTAAAGATAGCATCTTTACTCCAGGTATGAACAGGAGTGGGTATGTGGTACATGGAGGGGGAAGAAGCTCCAACTGTCACTGCTTGACAGGCCTCATATTCATCCCAGGGGAACACAGCTCTGGAATTTCCCCCAGGGCTAGGATGCTCTCGTTTAGATGCTCATAGTGCCCCTAGATGGAAAGCCTAAGACCCCACCACTCAAGAGTGGGGCCATTTGACCACCCTCAGCATCATCTCTAAGGAACATCTGTGGAGATCTCCACATTAACATCCGGAATGTTCAGCAGCAGTTCCATTTTTGGCCATAAACTGCAGGCACCAAACGTCCATTTCTTAAGTATTATACATTTTCTATAGAATCACAAAACCACAGGAGCCAACCCAGGAGTTAGGAGCATGGTACTTGCTTGGGCTTGGAAGGATTCTGGGCTGCCAAGGAAAAATCCTAGCTTATACCCCATCAAGACAGGAATCCCAGTTTGTGTGGACACTCAGAGGTGGGACTCACCACATAGGAAGGCCACTGTCCGGAGGGTCTGCTGCATGAGGATCTGGGTGACTGGGGAGAGGTTGTGGTGTGTGTAATGTGACATCACAATGCCAGAGAACAGGATAGCCATGATGCCTGGAGAGAGGGCAGAGGGAAGACATGACACACAGCACAGGGACTCTTCCCTGGATCCCAGAACCCCAAATATTAGGGATTTAAGAAAAGGAGGGTCTGGAAAGATGACTCAGAGGTAAAAAGCAGTGGCTACTCTTCCACAGGACCCACATTTGGTTTCCAACACCTACAAGGCAGCTTATAACTATGCGTGACTCCAGTTCCAGAGGACCCTACACCCTCTTCTGGCTTCCATGAACACCAGCTTTGCAAGCGGTACAAAGACACACACTCAGGCAAAGCACCCAGGTGCACAAAAAGGAAAGAAAAGACCACAGAAACTGGGATGCAGTTTCAGTTGGTAGACTGTCTTGCCTAGCATGCAAGAAGTCCTGGGTCCCATCCCTAGTGGTACATAACCAGATGTGATGGCACACACCGGCAATCTCACCAACTGGGAAGTAGGCAGCAGGTCAGAAATTCAAGGTCATCATTGGCTAAATAGCAAGTTTGAGGGCAGCCTGGGCTACATGAAACTCAAAAATGAGGAGGAGACAGAAAGAAAGTGAGGAACAAGGTGTGGGGAGAGACAGAGGCAGGGAGAGAAGGGGGGCTGCAGACACACAATCCTGAGGCCTTTCAGAAGCTACAGAGAAATGGCCAGGGTCTTGCCTCTCTCTGCCAGCTGGTGACATTGGTCAAGTGGCTCCCCATCTCCACGCTGTAGTTCCCTCGGTGGTGCAGTCCCTGCTCCCACAACAGTCAGGGATGAGTGAGAGATACGAACTGAGGGGGCTGGAGAGATGGCTCAGATGTTAAGAGCACTGGCTGCTCTTCCAGAGGTCCTGAGTTCAATTCCCAGCAACCACATGGTGGCTCAAAACCATCTGTACTGAGATCTGGCGCCCTCCTCTGGTGTGCAGGCATACATCGAGGCAGAATGTTGTATACATAATAAATAAATAAATCTTTAAAAAAAAAGAGAGAGATACGAACTGAACATCAGTTGTGGAATATTCCTTTACACTGTGTGAAAATGTGTCACTGTAACTGGTTTAATAAAAAGCTAATAGCTAGACAGGATTTCCAGGGCAGAGAAGATGCTGGGAAGAAGACAGACATGGAGGAAGCAGGAAAGCAAGAAGGACAGAATGTGGATGAGGTAAACGAGCCTGGGGCAGCGCACAGATTAACAGAAATGGGTTAAGTTGTAAGAGCTGGTTAGAAACAAGTCCAAGCTATCGACTGAGCTTTCATAATTAATAAGAAGTATCCTTATCGTGATTTGGGAGCTGGCTGCCAGGACAGAGGAAGACTTGCCACACACAGTACCAGGCTCCATGGCTGTGTGGCTGGTACTGTCACCTAAGAACCAGGATATAAAGGGTGGCCTCATGGACCTTTAAGATACTCTCAGTCCCATCTGAGCAGAAGGAAACTGAGGTGTTTTTTTTTTTTTTTAAAAGCCACTGAAGATGCCAAAATACAGAAACTACAAATCAAACTTAATAAGCCAAATTTTAATTTGCCTCCACCATTTTGGAGAAGCAGTTAAAACTGGCCAACTACACTTGTGCAAGACAAAGATCACAAGCTTTGTTACACACTAGCCACTGAACTGACCACACACTAGGCCCTGCAAAACAGGTTACCTGCTCTTGGAAATCCCCACAGAGCACCTGCTCTTGGAAATCCCCACAGGGCTGTGCTGTGTACATGACAGAAGGACTGGAATGTTGTATCCCCAAACTCCCAGGAAGCAGCCCTTTCCTTTATGCTCCCATTTTGTCTGCAAAAGGGGACAGACAAGGAGATAATCCTGAGCAGACGAACAAAGGGAAGGGGCAGTGAGTACAAAGTGGGCTTTTCCTAGAGCTGCAGTGGACAAAGAATCCCCAGCACTCCCCATCTTTGCCTGCTCTCATTGTGTCCCTGCAGGTGTTTTCTAGGAAAGCTGGCCCTCCCTCATCCTGCAGCATTACCACAGCCATCAAACATGACACCAGAGGCTGGCAAGATGGCTTGGTGGTTAAGGGTACTTGTTGCTCTTGCAAAGGACCTGGGTGTGAGCCCTAGCACCCATGTGGTAGCTAACAATCACCCACAATTCCTAGGCATTTATGTGGTGCACAATCATACACAACAATAAATCTAGCCAAGTGTTGCGAATTAGGTCGGTCCATTAAATAACCAGGCCAGCTCAAGAATAACAATTACATTTTAATGGTTTAATGGGGAAACTCAAGCTATAAGAGAGGGAAGTCTGACTTCCTATCTGCCCGGTAGGCGCCGCTCAGAGAGAGCGAGCACCTAGGTCCTCCCAGTTTTTCTTCCTGGGCCCTGGTAGCTATGCCTTAACTAGATGTGATTGGTTGACAGAATTTCCCCATTAGCCAGGCATGGTGGCAAGCCTTTAATTAAAGGCAAACCTTTAATCCCAGTACTCAAGAGAAAGAGGCAGGCGGATCTGTAATGAGTTTCAGAAAACTCAGAGCTACACAATAGAAAGCCCATCTTATCAAAAAACAAAACATGCAAAAATAATCTAAAAATTAATAAATAAATAAAAATTTACAAAAATGTGACAGCAGGCAGGGATGCAGGTTTGGAAAGTCATGTTCAGCACATGTGAGGTCCTGGCCTTGGGCCCCTCTGTCCAGCACTATAGCAGCAACCAGTACCAAGAAGCACCCATGCACTAGGAGAGAGGCCATATATAACAGGGAGTGGTCTCAAGCTCTCTGGCCCTCTTAAGTCCAGTGCTCACAGGGCTGCCTTAGACAAAGGCCATCAACATGCTTTTCATCTCAATATAATGTTAACCCAAGCTACAATGCCCCCATCAGCTGAACCACAGCTCCGTCATGCTACAAAGAGAGGCTGTTGTGATTGGCAGAAGGGGCTATAAATACTTGCTCCAGAGAGCGAAGGCTCAGAGAGCAGCCTGTGTGGAAATTTCCCAGGATCTGTCTAGAACAGTGTTTCTCAGTTCCAGTAGGGGGCAGTCTAGGCAAAGGGCTGCAGGTGGCCATGTTGCACTGGACCAGGGTTAAGTACACCAAAAATACTTGGTATGGGAGAGTACCAGAGCAGCGGCCACCAGGACGAATGCACAGCTCTCTCTCTTAAATAGGGAGCTGCAGCCCTGCTGGGCAGCATCTTCACTTCTGAGATGGAGTTTCTTACCACATGGATGCTGAGTCTGACCGAAGAGAGTGCAGATGGGCACTCCAAGGGACAGCTCGGGAGTCTGCCCATGAAGCCTCTCCACAACCCACCACCCTGACCCTTAGATGATCTTACCTACTTAAATCGTCACCTATACAGGCCCAAAGAATCAGAGGTCGGGGATGGTGCCACTGAGGCTCACTTTTGGGAAAATACGTGAATTAGCTACATTCAAAAAAACCTTTTTAAAAAATTTTATATGCCCATGATCTGCTGGAAAAACACAAGGAAGTGGGTTTTTGTTTGTTTGTTTGTTTGTTTGGTTTACAAGACAGGGTTTCTCTCTGTAGGCCTGACTGTCAAACATTCAACAGTTCTTAACAAAGTAAAACTGAGGCTGGGCAGTGGTGGTGCCTGCCTTTACTGCCAGCACTCAGGAGGCAAAGGCAGGCAGATCTCTGTGAGTTCAAGGCCAGCCTGGTCTACAGAGCGAGTTTCAGGACAGGTTCTACAGTGACAGAGAAACCCTGTCTCAAAACAAACAATAACAACAAAAAAGTAAAACTGATATGCATCACATCACCTAGCAACATCACATAATCAAAACATTTGAGAATATTCACAGCCAAAGTGGAGACCATGATCACCCCTTGAATGAGATGGTCGTGCGCTAGTGCTTCCTGCCACCTCTGTCATAGACAGAGTCAGGTACCAACGACTAGATGTTGCATAACGTCACCTAGTGACATCTGGGAAAGAACTATTAACAATGCAGTTCATGGTGACCGCAGAAGACACGGATCTGACCAGGGCCCTGTGACTACACACATCCATCAAAACTCAACAGAACACCATACATCAATGGCTGCTGTTATTGTTGTGATCAACCCGATCAACCCCACTGTAGTTTAAATTCAACAGAACACCAACATGGATGGCTGCTGTTTACTACTGTAGAGAACAACCCACTACAGTTTAAAGGAGAGGCCTTCCCACAGCAGAGGTCAGTCTGGTCTGTGTGCTGCTTCTCTTCCTCATACAGCCCTTACCTAAGGGTGGAGTCCTGGTGTCAAGGAGCCCTCCTCATTCAGCTGTACCTGCACCTGGGAACAAGGCATGGAGCTTGTGCTGGACCTGTAAGGCTGGTGCTCTTACAATTTGACAAATAGTGGACACAGGATCTACACCACTTGGGGCAGAAAGCTGACAGGCTGCTGACTGATCCCACAGCATGGAAGGCTTCAGGAACCAGTGCTCAGTGGACAGCCCCTCCTCCTACAGCAAGGAAATATGCACCTGGGATGTATGGGGTTCAGGGAGCCAGTGTTTAAGTCTCATAACCTCACAACCTTGAGTAAGGAGTCAACTGGATACCCACTCCAGGGGTGGCAAGGTTAAAACTAAGTGCCAGCCAGCGAGGGAACACACATCTATGAAGGAGGCTGAGGCAGGAAGATTTTGAGTTCAAAGCTAGCCTGGGCTAAATTTTCACTTCAAAAATCAAAACAAATATGAGGCCAGCCTGGTCTATAAGAGCTAGTTCCAGGACAGGGTCCAAAGCTACAGAAAACCCTGTCTCAAAACAAACAAACAAACAAGAAAAACCCCAAAAAAACAAAACATTTTACTGCGTGTCAGCCCCACTGTTATCCTGTTGCAGCGTGTGGTTTCATGAGAAGCTTGCTGGAGGGAGCTGGATAAGCCGGATCTGAGCCTCAGTTCAGGGGTCCAGACATCACTGCTCTAAGCTCTAATTCCAGCTGCGACAGCAGCAAGTGTTTTGCTTTGCTTTTGTGCTGTGTACACGTGTATACACGCTCCGTATGGGCATCTGCACGTCTGTTTGTATGTATGTGCATGTGGAGGTTGGAGTTTGACTTCAGGTGTCTTCCGCTATTGATCTCATTTTTAATGTAGGGCTTCTCATTGAACCTGGAGTTCATCAATTCTGCTAGACTGACTGGCCAGCAAGCTCTGAGAATCTCTACGTCTCAGCGCCCCAGTGCTGGGGCTACAGACACACGTTGTACACCTAGCTTTCACTTGAGCAAGGTGGGTTCAAACGCACATCCTCATGTTCCACAGCGATCACTTTACCAACTGACCCATCTCTCTAGCCCCTGACGTTTTTTTAAAAATATTTATTTATTTATTATGTATACAATGTTCTATCTGTGTGTATATCTGCAGGCCAGAAGAGGGCACCAGACCCCATTACAGATGGTTGTGAGCCACCATGTGGTTGCCGGGAATTGAACTCAGGATTTTGGAAGACCAGGCAATGCTCTTAACCTCTGAGCCATCTCTCCAGCCCCAGCCCTTGACGTTTTAAATAGAGTACACTGATTTAGCTACTTTGTCTGTCTGCCCTGTCTATGTTTTCGGGAGGGTGTGCACACGCGGAGGGCAGAGGACAAATGCTGGAGTCGGTTCTGAACCTTCCACTATGGGAATTATTAAGGCCATCAGTTTTGGTGGCAGCTGCCTGCACTTGCTGAGCCATCTCAGAGTTTGAGTGTTTCTGAGGCAGAATCTCATGAAGCCCAGGCTAAGCGTGCTGTGTGGTGGAAGACGACCTTGAACTCCGGACCCTTTTGCCCCACCCCAGTGTACTACACTTCAACCTCAGGTTTTCTTGTGATAAAACTGGGGCCATCACAGCACCGTTACCTCTGCCAAGAGAAAGCAACTCACCTGACAAAACCTCTATCACCAGGTAAAACACTGAGCCATGGTCACAGTGTGCTGGTTATTGTCTCTAGCCACGGTCACAGTGTGCTGGTTACTGTCTCTAGCTTCGGTCACAGTGTGCTGGTTACTATACCTTACCTGAGAGTGAGATTCCCTCTGCCAGCCCATATGGCAGGTAAGCAAAAATGATCATCATGCCAAACTCCAGGGAAGGTGTTCTCCTCAGGTCAATGTGCTTCAGCACGTGGCACAGGTGTCAAGGAGAAAGGCTCAGGGCACTGGAGGAACGCAAGGCAAAGCACAGACATATAAAGCAGAGGAGCAGTGAGAAAGACACTGATCGGCAGTTACAGTGGGGAATTTCTCACTATAGAATTGTTTTTCTTTGTAGGAACAAGAACCTGACAGACATTCAGAGACACTGTCTTATCTGTGGCTGCAGACAGCTCACTCAACTGCTTACTCTCCAAGGACTCATCGCCCTGCTGAAAGGCCTGTCCTTCCTGTCCCTGCAGAATACCACTCATGCCCCTAGGAGCAGAGGGCCCATGTTCCCAGGCCCTGACTGAAGCAGAGTTCCCATGTTCTTGCCTCATTAATATGTGCTCCTTGAAGGCAACCACATTCACTGCTGTTTTCTTTCTGTCCTTCTCTGCCCCTTCCTCTTCCTTTTGCCTCTCTTTCAGACAGGATCTTATTATGCAGCATTGCTGGCCTCAAACTTGTGGGAATCCATCTGCCTCAGTCTCCTGATTGCTAGGATTATAGGCATGTATCACTATTTCTGGCATGTTTTTAATTTTTTTTTTACATTTTATGTGTATGAGTGTTTTGCCTGTATGCCTGTGTACCACATATGTACAGTGTCCACAGAGGTCAGAAGATGGTGTCTGATCCCCTGGAACTGGAGTTTCAGGTAGTTGTGAGCTGTCACATGGGTGCTGGGAACTAAACGTGGATCCTCTGTAGGAGCAGCAAGTGCTCTTAATTGCTGAGCTCTAAGTGTGGAGGAAACGCTACATCCTCATTCTGCTTATTGACAGCTGTTCATCAACTCAATCAGCCTTCAACTTCTGGACAGAGGAACAGACCAGAATATAGCCAGTGCGATAAGAAACATACTCAGAACCAGGCAAGAGTGTTCCAGCTAGCTGAGAGACAAACTGCTTCAGGAGGGCCATCTGGCCATTCTGGGGACATGGGCCAGTTGCCGAACCTCTCTGGATCCTGTCCTATTTCTGCAGATAAACTGTCACCAGCAATAATGTCTCATTGCCATTAGAGTCCTGTTCTCTGGCTGACAGTCCTCATCTGGGAAGCAATTCACAGTGCAAACCATGTGGGCAGTACTTCCTGAAAGCCCATGTGGGTGGTACTTCCTGAAAGCCCTTGCCATCCTTCTAGATAAACTCTCATCCAGGGAGGATGGTCGGAGCACCACACTTCTAGGCTAGGGAGACGCTCTGTGGTGAAGAGCCACCTCACTGAGTTCAGTTCCTAGCATCCTTATCAGCAGCTCACAACTGTTCTCTTTCTCTCTCTGAGACAGTCTCTACACAGCTCTGGCTGTCTTGGGACTCTGTAAACCAGGTTGGCCTTGAACTCTGAGATCCACCTGCCTCTCCCTCCCAAGTGCTGGGATTAAAGGCATGCACTACCACCACCTGGCTAAAAATAAATCTTAAATAAAAACAAACAAAATCCACATACAACCTACAGTTGCTAAGAAAATTTCCAGTTTTCTGGGTGTGAGAACCATAGCAGTGATAGAATGACGTCATTTGTCTGTGGTTCTCAGCCTGCAGCAGCAGCAGGTCAGATCAAATCCGCCACCCTAATAGCAAGGCTTTGAGAATGCCATCCGTGCCAGGAGTGGTAGTACACACCTCTAATCCCAGCTCTTGGGAGGCAGAGGCAGATGGATTTTTGTGAGTTTAAGGCCAGCCTAGTCAGACATACTGAGTTCCAGGACAGCTAGGGCTATGTGGACACCCTGTCTCAAAAAAAAAAAAAAAAAAAAAGAACCAAATGAATTAAAGAAACTGGCATCCTTGAACAATGGCGGTAAGATCTGTCATTTCAGCAGGACACAAAGCTTAAGGCCAGCTGATGTCTAGAAGAGAAAGTGTCCTCCCAACACTTCAGAGGTTGAATTTAAGAGTCCTTGAGTTTAGAGTCTTTCTCAAACCACAGTTTAGCACAAAACCTTCCTTTAAAAAGCTTTAGATTAAAATTGGACCCTTGAGGAAGAGGAGAAAATAGTGAGAGTGGACGCCATCCATGTGATCCCTGTACCTCGTGCTCCCATGCTAAAAGGATATCAATGCAGAAATCAAGCCCGTCAGAGTGCCAAGTGCTGCAGAGCCAAAGAACATTTTGAGGAAGTAGCCGAGGGCCTGTGAGAACGTTTGCCACCCACTGACATCCGACATATGTTTTCTTGTTAGACCTTCAGCCGTGCTAGGAAAGAAGGAAACAGAGAAAGTTAAAGTGCTGTAGACGGAGTCCTCAGTCTCAGCTCTGAGCATAACTCTTCCTTCCAGATCCCCCTTCTTTCCTACATTCTGTTCATCATTCCATGTTCTATGGTCACCTACTTGTCCAGGTGGTTTCTGGGGCTCAGAGGTGAGGGCAAAGGTGATGTCCTCAGGAGCTGCCCTGGAAATGAGGGGGAAGGGCCAAGGGCTGTGAAAACAGGGTGGCCATCTAACTCAGACTGGGGAGAGGGTGACTGAGGAAGGTTCCTGACGCAATGTAGACTGGGTTTCCACTTAAGAGAAAGGGTTCTCAGGCTGAGGAAACTGCCCAGGGGTGGACATAGCAGAGCAGCAGCCAGTGCAGGGCCCATGGACAGTGGGAGGGCCAGCGGTTCACCCTGAAGGCCTCATCCTCTCAACCATTCTGAGTATAGGAATCCTACCATAAAGCCCCAGACAGGGCTTCGGGCTGAGAGGAGAACTCAGGGGGCCCAGAGATGAGCTGGAAGGTCCTCCCTTTCACTGTGCCAAAGCAGCTGTGGGAAGCCAGTCAAAGTGGCTTTGTTCCCAAAAGGAAGAGCACCACTAATAGAGAGCTGTTCTTGATAACATCACACAGGGTCCTCTGCTCTCCGTCCTGGGTCTATCTGTTCACAGGTCACACCTCCACCCTTCTCTGAGCCACATCTGTCTTCAAGTCAGGTCTGCATCAGCAGCTGAAGTGATCCCCTTAACACACACTTGCCAAGGAACAGCTGCTCCAAAGCTTCAGCATGGCCGATCCCTGACAGCTCTGTCCAGTTCTTTCTCCTCTGTGGTGTCCTACATGGGCACTGGCCTTTTTCTACAGGGCATTCTTCACTGTCCCTGGCTCTGCTAACTAACTTACCTGTCCTTTTGGACAGTCCCCTCCTTCCCTGAAACACCTTTCCTGAGCAGGTCAACTCATTTCCAGGTCCCTCTGAGCCAGCTCTTCCTTCTGAGCGTGTGGCAACTACAGTGGGACTCTCTCCATCCTGTTCTGTCCCAGGCCAAAGCACAGTGCAGCCTATCAGAGGTACTCATGCGTGTCTGTGGAATCAGGCAACAAACTAAGAGCCATTCAGCTTCACTAACTGGTATTCTATCTGACAGGAGACCGACCTCTGATGAAGAGATAAATTGGTCAGGTGACCTCAGATCCCTGGTGACAGATGCACAGGCTGGAGGAACATGAAGCAGTTCTGAGAGGTCTCACAAATAAAGTCTGCCCTCAGAGGGCAGTCAGATGGCCCAGAAGACAGAGGTGCCTGCGGCAAAACCTGAACATCAACTGCTGAAGGATGTGCTCTGAGTTCCAATTTTGGACTGTGTGCATATAAGTGCACACATACATATAAAATAAATAAAAGTATTTTTTTTATTTTTTTTAATTTATTTATTATGTATACATATTCTGTCTGCGTGTATGCCTCCAGGCCAGAAGAGGGCACCAGACCTCATTACAGATGGTTGTGAGCCACCATGTGGTTGCTGGGAATTGAACTCAGGACCTTTGGAAGAGCAGGCAATGCTCTTAACCACTGAGCCATCTCTCCAGCCCTAAATAAAAGTATTAACTGAAAAGAACTCATCACCTAAGTTTCCTGAGCTCCTGTGTCATCTCCCCGACTTCTCCTTTCCCAGCAGATCAAGTAGGGAATGTGGGAGCAACAAGGGCTCTCGCTGGAAGCTGATTTGGTTGACCAAATCCCCACTGGACCACACCCACACCTGTGTGTAAGAATGCAGTGGGAGAGCCCAGCTGCTGCTCAGGACTTACCTGTAGCAGCCCCTCCCCTCCACCTTTACCTACAGACATCCTGTGGAGACACTGGGAGTCCCTGGATAACAGACTTCCCTGAACCAGGACCTATTGGTGGCCATACATGCTGCTCCCACTCCCTCCCCTGCCTCCTACCTGGGAATCAGAGAGCCTCCACCCAGGCTTATGTTGTGAAACATTTCCATACTTAGAACAGTGTAAAAATTAAACTCCTACTTCTGCCTCATGGGTTGATTCCTCCAGACCCTGTATGGTATCTCTGATGCTAAAGCCTGAAAGGTTCTTGGAGCCCCCACCATGGCCTTTGGTATCCACAGTGTTAGCAACTTTCCCAATAAACTACTTATCGCCCTAGTGATCCATCTCAGTGTCCCTCATGAACACACTCCATCTCAAATCTCCCTGTGCAGCTCAGCATTCTGTATTTCTGGTTGGAACACACTAATCTGCTGCCTGCTTACTAGAACAGGGAGCGGAGTTCCACAGAATAACTGGCTGTCATAGCCAAGGACCAGCAAGTGGCTTGGGATCATGATGTGGGATTCCCCTCTGTATACTGTGAATATGTTTTATTACCATTGGTTAATAAAGAAGCTGTTGTGGGCCTATTACAGTGCAGAATAGAGCAAGGCAGGAATTCTAACCAGAGATTGAGGAAAAAAGAAAGTGGAGTTGGAGAGATGCCATATAGCCACTGAAGCAGACTGATCTCAGGAACCTTACTGGTAAACCTTGAGCCTCATAGTAAAATATAAAATAATGAAAATGGGTTAATTTAAGATATAAGAGCTAGCTAGCGATATGATTAAGCGATTAGCCAAGCAGTGTTGTAGTTAATATAGTTTCTGTGTGATTATTTCAGGTGTGGGCAGTCGGGAAACAAACAAACATTCCTCTGCCTACAGGAACACCAAAGAAATTAAAACAGACTGACACCCTCAGGGTATAAGATGGGGTTTCCTTCCCAGCAACTGACAAAAGGAAAAACTGTGATAACAGCAAATTAAAGCTAGAAAGTAGCTACTAGGAGGTTGAGGTAGAAAGATCAGGAGTTCAAGACCAGCTTGTGTCAGGAGACTGTGTCTCAAAAAAACAAAAACAAACAAACAAACAAAAAAACCCCAAACCACCAAGTAAATAAATAAAGCTAAAAACAACCCAGGAGTTAAAGAAGAACCAGAAGGGCTTTGCTTTCTGGCAACACTGAAAGGAGGCCCTGCACTTGCGTATGTAGGTGAGAGGCCTGAGCACTTTGGAAAGAACTGTTGTTCACAAGCACCCCCTCGGAACCAGGAGGGACAGCAGCTGGGTTTTGGAAGTTCAGAGGCCAATGAAAAGGGGACAAGCCTTCTATCTCCATTCTTCCTGCTTCTGTCTGAAAATGCTCACTGGCCTGGAGCAGAAGACACCCTTTCTGGAATCCTCCATGGCATTCCTGCCTCTGCCCCTCTCTTGCGTGCCACTTCTCTTTGGCCCACCATGGACCAAGTAAGTCACATCCAACTAAAATCTAAACCATATAGGCAGAAGGTAGACAACCTTTAGAGCATTTGCTGTCCAGAGAATCTGACTGTAACGGAGGTGGCCCTGACAATGAAAAAGGAAGTTGCCCATTCTAGATATACATAATCCAGAGCCACCTGCAGGAACTAATGTGGGTGGCCGTTGAAGCCACTCTTCCAGTAAGATGTGTAATGATGACAACCTTTTCCATTTGTTTTAAAAATATCTCTTCAACTTGGCAGTTGTGCAACAGAGGCCTGAGAAAACTGTTATTTTCCTACTGACAGACTTGTTTTCAAAGAAATCAGAGGCAAAGCATTTGAGTTCTGCTCCTAACCATAGAAACAGCTCATGCCATCACCTACAAGCAGGCAATTCCTTACCATATCACTTAGTGTGTGCACCAGGAGATGGGATGTGGGCAAAGACCTAAGAAGCTTTTAGAAAAGAATCTATTTTGGACACAGGGTCTCATGTAGCCCAGGCTAGCCTCAAACTCCTTATGTAGTAGAGGATAACCTTTAACTTTTTGGTCCTCTGGCATCTATTTCCCAAATTCTGGGATTATAGGTATGTACTGCCACGCACGTTGTATGTGCTGCTCTGAACGAACCCAAGGTTTTGTACATGTTGGGTAAGCACTGTACCAACTAAGTTAAACTTTTAGGAAATATGTTAGAGAATAAAACCAGCTCTAAAGGCCATATGCATGGTGCTCATCATTTCTATCAAGAGGGTGTGAGAAGGCAGTGAGAGGGCAGTGAGAGGACAGTGAGAGGGCAGTGAGAGGACAGTGAGAGGGCAGTGAGAGGACAGTGAGAGGACAGTGAGAAGGCAGTGAGAGGACAGTGAGAGGACAGTGAGAGGACAGTGAGAAGACAGTGAGAGGACAGTGAGAAGACAGTGAGAGGACAGTGAGAGGACAGTGAGAAGACAGTGAGAGGACAGTGAGAGGACAGTGAGAAGGCAGTGAGAGGACAGTGAGAGGACAGTGAGAGGACAGGACAGTGAGAGGACAGTGAGAAGGCAGTGAGAGGACAGTGAGAGGACAGTGAGAGGACAGTGAGAGGACAGTGAGAGGACAGTGAGAAGGCAGTGAGAGGACAGGACAGTGAGAAGGCAGTGAGAGGACAGGACAGTGAGAAGGCAGTGAGAGGACAGGACAGTGAGAAGGCAGTGAGAGGACAGTGAGAAGGCAGTGAGAGGACAGTGAGAGGACAGTGAGAGGACAGTGAGAGGACAGTGAGAGGGCAGTGGTGACATGACAGTACAGGAAATGATAATACCCTAGACAGTTTTTGTTTTATTTTATTTTATTTTGAGACAGGGTTTCTCTGTATAGCCTGGCTGTCCTGGAACTCACTCAGTAGATCAGGCTGGCCTCGAACTCAGAGATCTGTCTGCCTCTGCCCCCGAGTGCTGAGACTAGAGGTGTGAGCCACTAAGCCCTGTGACTTTGAGCTCTCTACCCTCTTACCTCCACTTTAAGGATAACAACTGTGTGCCAACATTTTCTACCTTTTTATGAGGAATATGTATTAGCCTTAGAATAACAGAACATTCTGACGTCTGGCTCTGTTTTAAGGTCGGAGGAGGACTTCTTGTACCTGAGCACTGCTTGGCAAGTCCTGCCTGCAGCAACTGGTGAAGAGGTGACTTCATAAGAACAGGGCAGGGCTAGAGGAGCTGGCTGCCTCTCAAATGGTGGGCATTGCATTTACCCACCTAGTCAGTCCTTCAGTTCAAGGTGAGGCCAAGGCCATATTGCCATCACATCATAACGAGGGATAATCTGTTGGGGAGCTCAGAGAGGCAGAGAGTCACATGGCTGGGTGGGGTCAACAGGAAAACCTGTGCTTTGCCTTGCAACATGTCAGATCTCAGATTCCATCAAAGGCAGCAACCCCGGGAAAATGAAAACTTTCATTTTTCAACCTCATGTGGTGGAGCAGGACTCTTACCCTGGCACATGAGAGGTGGAGGCAGGAGGAACAGCAGGTCACAGTCATCCTTGGCTACATAGTCAATCTGAGGCTAGCCTGAGCTACATGAGACTTTATCTCACAGCTGGAGGAAGCTGAACAGATGGCTCAGCAGTTAGAGGATTCTGGTTTGATTCTCAGCACCCACACTGCAGTTCACAATCACTTGGAACTCCACTTCTGCCCTCTGTAAGCTGTTGGTCTCTATGAAGCTGGACATGGCACACGGCCTCTTACAGGGTTGAGCAAGCCCGCAACATTGGCCCACACGGCATTCACTACTTCAGCAATGCTGCCTGAACAGTAATCCCTCACTTGGCTGCTACTGGTCATCAAGGGAGCATACTACAGACCTACTGCAAAAGAGGCTATGAGGTACAACCTGGGATGTCACCTCTGAGAAGCCCTTCCAGGATGCTGAGAAACACAGACACACCTCCCTTCAGCAGCCTGGCTGAGACACAGTCGATGCAGAGGCAGTAGAGAGCCGATCACATGGGACTAACCTCTGTACTGGCGTCAGAGTGGTGCTGGGACCTTCCACTCTCTCCTACTTACTTGGTTAGGACAATGGAGACTGCATCGTTGAGAATGCTTTCTCCAAACACCAGCATGTTGAGCACAGGGTCCACGTGCAGTGCATTGAAAATTGCGATAGTGGCTACTGGGTCAACCGCAGATATCAGGGAGCCAAATGCAAAACTGCAAGGAGAAAAGCAAGGCAGATTCTGTAAAGCATGGTGCTGGGTCCACACACACGCTCTGGACGTGATGCTGAGACGACAGCTGAAGGGCGGGCCAGGAGAGGGTGGGCTTTCCCACCGACCCCTGCCTAGCACAGGCGCGGAGAGGCTTAGACACCTGCTGAGAGTGCCTGCATCCCAGCAGCAGCACTGCACTCTGTTCTGGCCAACGCTGTCCAGAAGACTGCTTACCCTAGCACACACTGCCCAGCTTTCTCAGCCAGAAAATCATATAAACAGTAGGCTTTGACCTCTGTTCTACCACCAGGTCAACTGTGCCTATTGTGCCCAAGATCAGCCTCCACTTAGATTTGCAATATCCAAGAAGGTGCCAAAAGCAAGCAGCCACCAGAGGATGCAGCCCGGGCTGCTGACTGGAAGTTGGGCCCTCAGGTTTCACAGGTAGCGCTTGATTATAAGGTCCAATGCCCAAATACTGGTCATCCGCCGACCAGGTTTTCAGCCCTTAGGGCTCACCAGTTAACATCTCCTTAGCATGTGGGATCTGGCCCCAAGCCCTCACCACTGACTGTCTAGCTCAGAGCCAGTGCCTCTGGCCTTGAGGGAGGGTGTAGCAATAAGCAAGGCCCACCCAGGTCAACTTAGGAAGCACAATGTGGACTGGGTTACAGTGCTTGCTAAGCATGCTGGAGGCCCTCGGTTTTATCCCAAGCATCACAAAACAGCTGAGAGTACACACTGTAACCCCAGCATTGGGAGACATCACCCACAGGGACATCAAGGAAGATGAATAGCTCAACTGTGTCAAAGGAGGCCACAGTGGGCTGTGCTCTGCAGGGGTCTTGTATGGAGTGCATTAGACACAGTCTCTGGTCTCACTGCCCAACACCCACAGCCTCTGGGTGCTGTCTTCCCACTTTCTAGGGAGTGGGTACAGTGCACAAGGTTGGACCAGTTTTTCCAGGTCACTAGGAGCGGACTGACCCTAAGTGAAGAGTGCCTAGAGCTGCCTGTGCTCCACGTGAGGTGGACACCAGTGAGTGGAGAGCTGGTCTGAGACCCCTGAGAGGAGAGTGTCCTGGAGGGTGCTGGGTTAGGGCCATCATGCTTGAGACACTTCAGCCCTATGAGCCAACAACCATTTTTGATGTGAACTTCATTCCTACTGGGTTGTAGGTACACAGAGAGATGCCTGCCCAAGGTACTTTGTTAGTTACTGCAGCCTCTTAACCAGAACTCTGGGATCAGGGCCCACAGGCATGCCTGGGGAGGGATGGACAGAGGGAGCGCTAACACAGATCCTGGAGATGCAGGCCAGGAGGAGCTGTAGATGCAGGTGCTCACTACACAGGGTCTCGATGTTTGAGTCATATTCTTCAGAATACTGGGGCCATGCCTTGTGGAAAAGCCAGCACAGGACAGTGGTGATCACAGGGAACTCAGTTGGTAAGGGTTGACCATGAGCCCCGAGGCCTCAAAAGGCCTGGGTCTGGCCAGCAGTGGTTCCACATCCACCGTTAGGACCCAGTCCTCGAAAGGCTTCAAGCAACTGGCTCAAGCTAAAAACATGCTCTTTTATTCTCTCCCTCAGAGTTAGTGACACCAACAAAACATGGAAAGATGGACAGGGTGAGACTTGGGGAGGAGCGGGGACAAGCTGGAGAGCTGTTGCCATCTACTAACGGCAAACTCTCGCCAGCAGAGATATCTGTGGCCAGGCCCATACCACGAGCCATGGCTGTATTCTCAGAATAGCAGAGGCGAGACAGGCAGCCTGTGGGTCTGTGGTGTTGTCAACACTCAAAAACTGGAGCAATGGGCTGGGCGTGGCACAACATTAATGCCAGACAGAGGCAGCGAACCTCCTCCATAAGTTCCAGTTCAAGGCCAGCCTGAAGTATAAAGTGACTTCTAGGTCAGCCAGGGCTACAGAGTGGGGTGTCCTGTCTCAAAAAGCAAACAGCAAGGTATGGTGGCATACATTTATAATCCCAGCACTTGATCAGAAATTCAAGGTAATCCTTAGCTACACAGAAGGTTTGAAGTCAGTCTGGGCTACATGATGCTCTACATGACAACATCAAAAACCACCTAAAAAAATAAGCCAACAAAAACAAAATTGGAAAAGTCCCGGGAAACACCTATAACTTGGCTTTCTAAAATCCACACTCTGTGTATGTTTGTCTGTGTGTGAGGGGAAAGGAGGGAGGGGGGAAGGAGAGGGAAAGGAAGAAAGGAAGGAGAGAGGGGGAAGAAGAAGGGGAGGGGGGGAAAGAGAGACAGACAGAAACTGACTTCCTTTTGGCTAATAAGTATATTTATTTATTTGCTTGTTTGTTTGTTTATATTATTTTTTCCCCAAGACAGGGTTTCTCTGTATAACAGCTCTGGCTGTCCTGGAACTCTCTGATTAGACTGGCTGCAAATTCACAGAAATCTACCTCTCTGGAGTGGGGATTAAAGGCGTGGTCACTATGTCCGTCCTAAAGGTTCTGTAAAGCAGAGCAGCAGCACATACATGTAGCACCTGCCTAGCACATGAGGTCCTGGGTTCCACCCCCAGCACAGAAAAACTATTTAAAAAAAAAAAGATTTATCTATTTATTATGTATATAGTGTTCTGGCATATATGCCTGCAGGCCAGAAGAGGGCATCAGATCTCACTACCGATGGCTGTGAGCCACCATATGGTTGCTGGGAATTGAACTCAGGACCTCTGGAAGAGCAGTCAGTGCTCTTAACCTCTGAGCCGTCTCTCCAGCCCCCCAAAAACTTTTTAAACATTTAGTAACTGCAGGCCATGTGTCCACATGGCGATCAGGAGGAGCTGAGGAGTGCTGTCCCTTGCAGTAGGCTGTGGCCACCATCAGACCTCCATTACCCTGGTCACTTCCCTCTGTTAAAGCTCTACGGTCCTATACAGCAGTCTCTATCCAATGCACAGAGCGTCCAACAGAAAGGGGCGCATCTGCACAGGGGGAGGCTGGCTGGAGGTCTACCCACGCAGCCAGAACTATTGCTTTTGTCTCTCCACCCAAATGTCCAACTCCTGGCTTTAACTTCATTCTAGACAATGATCAACACTGCTTCTTCACAAGTATCCCCAAAAGCAGGCAGAGCCCAGACCTTCCTTAATGTCAAGAGTGCTCTGGTCCTTTTTCCTTTTTTCCTTTTTCCCTTTTTCCCTTTTCCCTTTTCCCTTTTCCCTTTCCTTTTCTTTCCTTTCCTTTCCTTTCTCCTTTCCTGCACACCTAGAAAACACCAGGGCCTGGTTCTATTGTACTTCAGGCTCCTCCTGTAGGAAGGTGACTCCGGCTGCTTGGCTATGTATCAAACTTTCTGGGCTGCTCACACATCTGTAATTCCGACACTTGGAAGGCTAAGGCATGAGGACTGCCTCAAGTTTGGGGGCCAGCCTGGACTACATATTGAGTTCCAGAGCAACCTGGGCTATAGAATAAGACCTTGTCACAAACAAACAAGGAATACTTTTTCTTTTTTTAAACAACAAAAGCTCCAATTCTCCTGCCTAGGGCGGGTGAAGGATGGGCACTGGGGACCAAGCTTGTTATCAGTGGCTCATTTCTATGAACAGGTTCTGAGGCTCTGGTCCAGGGTGCTACACTGTAGCTAAAGTTTGACATTCTCAGTTCACAGGAATGATCTAGAACTGACTACTTGGCTTTCTTCCTCAGCTCCCCACTCGGCCACTGATAGGTGCTAAGAGTGGACACAGGGACACAGAGCAAGGCACAATCCAGACTTCTCAACTGCACTGAGCTAGGGTCCTTTTGGAACTCTAGATCTGGTGCCTTCTGGGATGCAGCTGCTCAAGCTGCTGCTCCCTGAGTGGGTTAAGAAGATTTTAAGAGCCTCCTGAGCAGAAGGTCACTGCAGTGTCTTCTGGAGTGGCTACAGATTGAGAAGATGTCCATCCCAAGGCCAGGTCCTACCTGCTTCCACTAGTCCTGGTGAGAATTCCAGAGTCACTCTCTCCCATTCCATACTTATTAGGAAGGCAACCTCCTTCCACAATGGCTATAAAGAAAACTGAGGTTTTTGTTTGTTTGCTTTTACAGTGTTGGGGACTAAACCCAGGGCCTCATAAGTGGCAGGCCAGGGCTCTGCCACTGAGCTATACATACATTCCCAGCTCTGAAGACAATTCCTAATGGAAGGACAGAGTATATGATGTGACTGGTATACGGGTGGGTAGTTAACTGGCCAGTCATTCCCTCCAAAGAGATCAATCATTTCAATCAACCATGTTGTGACCAGGGGTCTTCAAAAGTCTCAATATAATTTTGATTCATTTCAGAGATAATTAATTCAGAACAGATTCTATACTGAAAACAATGGCAAGTCAGGCAGAGGGAAGAGAGGAAAGGACCACACCCAGGAAGCCACGAGCAAAAAATGTCCCAGGCCTGAACAGCAGTTGCATGAAAAAATTACAGTGTGAAAGATTTACCTGTCTGTCATGTTGAGTTTAAAGATTACATCAGCCTGTAAAATAAAACACACAAACACACAGACACACACAAAAAAATTCCCTGGAGAACAGCCAAGAAAATGTCCATCAGTGCTTTCTTATCAACTAATAAGGACATTATCTTCAGTCCCCACTGAAAGGAAACCCCAAAGGGCTGCTATGAGCATACATGGGCACCTAGACCCAAAGATGGGCACAATTCTCCTTCTTCTAGCCTAGCAGCTATGATCCTCTGCTCGAAAGGGGGCTTCCCTTGACCCCGAGGGAACACAGAGAAGGCAAACATCTAGGAAAGCTGCACGGCACACTTGATCTTGGCTGTTGAGTCAGCCATGAAGGTAACACAGTCAGCAGGAATAGGCTGTGGCTACCATGAGAAACAGCAGCCACATGGACAGCAATCCGCTGTATCCTCAGCTTGGTCTGTTCTCAGCACCGGGTGGCTCCGCTTTCTGTACACGACACAAGAACGGGTGCTGCACAGCACATACCATGAAGGTCTGAGTGCCACCTTCCGAGGCTTTCGTTCTAGCTGAAGTAAACTAATGTGAAGCCCAAAGCCTGGGCTGCTGCCTCATTGAAGGGCTCACAACGGCAAGGAGCATCATGGGAACTGAGAGAACAGATTCATAGCCAGCTCTGGTTTAAAGGCAAATATTCACCCAAGAACAGCTTTCGGCCCTACTGCAGTTGCCCTGAGAACACAACTGCCATTTCAGGGTGCAGGACTGCACACTACTCTGCTTCATGGCATTCCAATGGAAGAGACTGGTTTGCAAGTAGAATCAAGTATCTGGGGGTGATTACAGTCCCCTCAATTCCAGATGCCCTAGACACATGCATGAGCGGGGACTTCTTCCAAGGAGGGCACACACTACCAGGCAGCTCCTGCCCCACCCTGCACTACCCTCCAACAGAAGATCTTCAAGGTCATCGGGGTGCTTTGCTTACCTGACCCAGAAAGTAAATTCCTCCACCTACTACAAAAGCAGAGATAGCCGTTCCAAAGACAGCAAAGAGGGTGATGGAGCCGATGTTCTGAAAGAAGTTCCCCTGGGAAGGGGGAACAGAGGGACAAGAGGCCAACTGGTGAGCCAGGGAAGCCAAAATAGCCTATTCCCAACTGTGCCTTCTCCAAGGCTGGGCTCTCCTACAAAGGTCAGGGCACCCCTGCCTGCCCTGCTGGCTGGAATTCCTGCCACCGTCTCCCGGCTTCCCTGTCTCACAGGTCCCTTATCCTGACCCAAGGCAAGAGCTAACCAGTCTCATCTGTTCCCAGTCCCTTTCCCTCTACTGTGTACTGCTTCCAGAGTAATCTGTAAAAGCTCAGTCTGATGGTGCTGCCTCTGCCTTGATTGCCACTTGCACTTGAGATGCCAGTGAGCCCCAACTCTAGCTGAACCTGGGAAGGCTTGTGCCTTCATGAATCAGCATGCCACCTTGTTGCCTGGGTCCCAGTCACAGGGGTCTTCCCTGGGCCTGCTTACCCCCCCCCCCCCCCTGGCTCTCATAAGGGATCTGGCTGTGTTCTTTCAATGCCAGCTGCACTGCAGCGCTCACTTATGTAAAGCTGACTGACAAGTGCCTTTCTCAAAGGGCTGAAGGTTCAGGAGGAACAATGACATCAGTCATATGAATGATGCTCAATTCACAGGTGTGGAAAGAATAAATCCACACTATCACAGTTTTCTTTTATTCAATTAAAAAGTGCATTCTGAAGTCACCTAAACTCAAAGATCAGAACAATAGTCAGTGTTAGGTACCAAAGAAACCTGGGACAAAGGCTGAGTGCCTATTACCACATCAAAGCAGAAGCTGACTGCCAGGCTCTTCAGCATCACAAACACCTGTTACAGAGTCCAGGCTCCTCCCAGCACTTCTCACCCTGTCCCTGAGCTCCCCTTCCCTTCCCCCACTTCTCTTTCTTCAGCCATTTGGCCACAGGCTCTGGGCTCTGCTCTTGGATCTCCCTTGATCAGCTTGCCCCTCTCTCTCTTCCCCTCTCTCGCTCCCCCTTTTTCTCTCCTCTCATGACCCTGTCTATTCTGCTAGTCATGGTCGGTCTGGACCTTTCTTGATGCCTCTGGCTGTCCTCTCCCTCATATTTAAAGACCTTCTCCTTAACCATACCTAGGAGGGGCCATGCCCTCACTTTCACTCAGTCAGAAAGACCTTTATGCTGTATTAGCAGCATGAAATAGGCAGAAGTCTCGGCTGGGGCAGGGCTAAACTGTAAAGTGCTTGCCTCGCATGCATGAAGCCTTGGGTTACCCCAGCACTGCACACACCAAGTGCTGGGACATATGCCTGTAATCCTAGCACCTGGGAGGTGTAAGCAGGAGGATCAGAAGTGCAAGGTCATTCTCAGTCGCGTGGAAAGTGCCAGGCCTGCCTGGGCTACGTGAGACCCTAACTCTAAAGAACCTAAACCATAAAAGAGAAAATATTTCAGTTCTGGCAGCATGGAAGTTCCGACATTTCCACACAAGAAGGAAATGAAGCTATTAGACCCTAACAGGCTCCACTTAGGAGGCATCAAGGGTTTCAGTGACCAAGATTTCTGCTCCTTGTTACTAGGGTCAGGTTTACTTCAGGAGTAGCCTCTGGGGTGGGGGTGGGGGTAGAAATGGTTTAAAGTTAAGAGGATGTACTGTGGCTAGGTGTGGTGGTACACACTTTTAATCCTACCACCCAGGCAGCAGAGACAAAGTGAGGTCCAGGCTAACCAGGGCCACACAGTGAGATCTTATCTCAAAAAAAAAGGGGGTGGGCCTTCTGCTCGTGTAGCCTGCTGCACCCTGTCATGGCCACCAACCTTCAAACTGCTGCCCCAGAAGCTCAGACTGTGTGAAGGATCAGCATGTCAGTCAGTTCTTCCCCAGGCATGAGGGTTCACTGCTGTTAAAGTTACAGAACTCGAAGGAGCACCCCACCCCCACCTAAGCTCCAGGTGAATCTTACCTTGTGCAGTGAATATCCTGACTCAAAGATGATGGGTGGGAGCAAGAGAAGGAAAAACATGTTGGGGCGAAACATTTCTTCTTCCTATGAAGTCAAAAAGGGAGGACACTCAGGAGTGGGAGTGCACAACCATGAGACCTAGCTATCAGTCCCCACAATAGAGCAATGTAGTAATAAGGGCAGCGGGGCTGCGTCCCCAGCACCCCGGCTGCCTGGCTAGCTTATGCCCGAAATAACAATACACAAACTGTATTCATTTCATCACTGCTTGGCCCATTTCTATCTAGCCTCTTCTAGGCTAATTCTCACATATTAATTTAGCCCATTTCTAATCATCTGTGTAGCGCCCCTAGGTGCGCTTACCAGGAAAATTCTAGCCTATGTCCATCCTGGGTCGGAGCTTCATCGCGTGCGTCTGCCTGGGAGCTGGGAGCATGGCGTCTCTCTGAGGTGTCTGCTCCCGAGAGGAGAGCCGTGGAGTCTGAGCTCACTTCCTCTTCCTCCCAGCGTTCTGTTCTGTTTACTCCTCCCACCTATCTTCTAACCAATGAGGGCCAAGCAGTTTCTTTTTATTTAACCAATGACCTTCCTCCATCAGAGCAAGTATTCTTAACCACAGTAATCTCTCCACCCACACCCCTTGGGTCTTTTCAAACCCTAAGTATTCACAAGCACCTTAATCTGTAGCTCAGGCTACAGTACTAGGTTCTGCCCCTGGAGTACCCGACTTCATCTGCATCTAATCAACTTATAAAAACAAATATAGGCTATAGGGGTACAGCTTAGTGGTGAAGTCCATGCTTAGCATGCTCAAGGCCCTGAGTTCCATCCTCAGCACCACATTAAACAAATGACCGCCCAGCAGGGTCCATGGCATTCACCTGTAGTCCCAGTTACTTGGGAGGCTGAGGCAGGAAGATCGACAATTCCTGGATATAGAGAGACCCTGTTTTGAAAGAAATAAACCAAGCCAAGTCTGGTGGCAACTCCTTTAATCTCAGCACTCAGGAGACAGAAGAATCTCTATCCCCGGCAATTAGGCAAAATAAAGATAGGATGTATGCTTGGAATCCCAGCACCAGGGATGCAGAGACATGATGGTTTCTAGTTTCATGGCCTTCCCACCTGGCCTACATAATGAGTTCTAGGCCAGGAGAGACCTTTCTCCAAAAATAAGGTGGACAGCATCAGAGGAACATGTGACACCCAAGACTGTTGGCCTCTGGTCCACACACACAATGACAACAGCTGTGATTATGTCAGACCTACCTTCCAATTTGCCAGCTTTTTAAACTCTATAATTTTTATAACTGCTCCCATGAGAATACCTAGAAGGGAGAAAAGCAAAGTTGAGTAGAAATACAGCCTAAGGTTGCCTGGCTGGACTGGGCAGTGCCCTAGACTGGGTGGTACCCACTAGAGCAGGCTGTCCTAGAGCTCTGCAGGTCCGGGTCTGAGAATAAGAACAGGAATTGCCAGGAAGTGGGGTAAATCACCGAGTTTCCCACTTACGTCTCAGGCAAACACACCACGGCAAAATTTAAGATACGTGGGGAGAAGAAAACTCTTGTCACTGCTATGCCAGGTGTGAGGGCTCACAGCTGGTCACCCTCTCTAGACCATCCAGTTTCAACGGAAAACAGCAGAAGGTTATAGGCCAGGCCCATCCTACACTGCTTATTCTTAGTCCTGTCGTTCACAAATGGGGGTGGGGTGGAGGGGCTCAGCTGGTAAAGCCTGATGATGTGAGTTCTAACCCAGGACTCACTGCTACAAAGACACCGACTCCCAGAAGCTGTCCTCTGACCTGACGTGGCACAGCAGCAAGGGCACACAAACAACTGTTGGGTGTGGTTTACAGTGGAAGGCAGGTAGAGGTGAGCACAAGCTGGTTTAGAAACCGGCCTCAAACTGTAGCTAGGAGAGCCTTGAACTCCTGATCCTTCTACCTCTGATTTTTGTTTGTTTGTTTTTCTTTATTTTCTGCAATGTTATTCAACTTTGTGCCCTCTTATGTTTTAAAAAACACACTGGCAACAGTGATGCACACCTTTAATCCCACCTCAGGAGGCAGAAGCAGATGTATCTCTGTGAATTTGAGGCTAGCCTGGTCTACATAGAGAGTTCCAGGACAGCCTGGGCTACAAAGTGAGATTTTGTCTGGAAAAACAAACAAACATGGCAAAATTATCAAGTCCATATGTTAACCATATATTCTCTTAGATATGGGGCCTTCTACCAGGGGCCATTCCCCTTTAAAAAGCCTGCCTTTCCCTCTCTCTTCCAGCAGCTGTGAGCTGTCTGGAAGGAGCAGAGATCAGCTGAGCTGCCTGAAAATGCCAGCTGTACCTACTAAGCTGCAGCCCATGCTGGGGTAGGCTTTGGTGATGCTGCTGTCTTTGAGTCAGCTCTGATCCTAAACACAGGGACAGCCAGACAGCTCTGAACCAGGACCAAGGGAACCCTCTTAAGGACGTACAACTGGAACTGTTTTCTGGAGCAAGTGAAAAGACAGCTAGGCCTTCGCTCAAAGCACAGGAAAGTGGAAGGGGAGTGCTTTTAAGTGTGGATGGAGGTCCTCTTAACCTCAACACAAAAGGCCAATATGTGCTAAGTGACTGAAGGCCACATAGACCCAAGGGGACATGTCTGCTTCCTCTCAGCCTCCTTGGAGTTGTTTTTGGCACAACAGTCAGACAGTCCTGAAGGAGCCACCTCAACATATATGACACCATGCTCCAGCTGGAGAAGTCCATTTCCCATCATTTAAAAATTAGTTAATATATTTTATGGAGGAGTGGCATCCATGCTATAGTGGAGCTCAGAGGACAACTTGAAGAAGTCAGTTGTTTCCTTCTACCCCGTGTGCAAGCTGGGGATTAAACTCAGGCTGAAGGCCTAGCAGCAAGCACTTTTACCCACCGAACCGTCTCACCAGCCCCAGGTTACAGAGGGCTGTCAGTTCAAGACAACAATAAACCAAGACTCCGGCCTTCCCATCTGTCCCCTTGGACAGACTCAGTATTCTGGCTTTTGTCTTTGCGCCATGTAATTGCAAGATGACTACAGTGTTCCAGGCATCACATCCCAAAGAAAGGGGGTGCTAACTTCTCTCACTTCTACCAGGAAGGAGAACCAAACCCCACCACCCTGGAACACGTCCCTTTGGCCCGACTGTCTTATCCCCTCAACCAATCAGAGCAAAGAAACATGTGATATCATGATAGCCAAGACTAAAACTATCTGAGCACCTCCTTCCTCCTTGGGCACCACGGCAAGATGCCTGATCAAAATGAGGATTCCATTGGCGCACACCTTTAATCCCAGCACATAGGAGGCAGAGGCTGGCAGATCTCTGAGTTTGGAGCCAGCCTGGTCTACAGAGGGAGTGCCAAGACAATCAGGGTTACACAGAGAAAACCTACCTCAAAAAACCAAAGGTGGGTGGGAATACTGCTTAGTGGGAGAGCATACACCTGCCTGTGGTGCCCTGGATTCAGTTCCCAGCAGCAAAAACCACGTACAAGATAGTTTTATTTCCAGGAACAAAACAAGTGGCAAAGGCTCTTGCCAGGCAGCCATGTCTGCCAAGAGTCTGAGGGCCAGTGCCGGTGTCAGGAGTCATAGCACCCATACTTAACAGTCTGTCTGTATACCTATGTGTGCATATGCCCACAAGTAGGTACTGGACCCACTGAAGTCACAGCCAGCTCTGAACCACATGATGTGGGTGTTGGGAACTCAACTGTGTGCCCTGAAAAAGCAGCAAGTATTCTTAACCACTGAGACATCTCTCTTGTCCCTAATTTTTAATTTTTTAAAAGATTCTTTTTTTTAAAATTTTATGTGTGTTTTGTCTGCATATATGTCTGTACCACAAGCATGTCTGTTGTCTAAGGGCATCAGGTTCCCTGGATGGTTATGAGCTACCATGTAAGTGCTGGGAACTGAATCCAGGCCTTCTGTAAAAGCAGCCAATGCTATTAACTGCTAAACCAATTTTTGCTCTTTTTTCCCCCCCAGACAGGGTAACCCTATGTAGCCCTAACTGTCCTATAACTTGATACACAGACCAGGCAGCTCTTGAACCAATATAGACCTGCCTGCCTCTGCTTCCTAAGTGTTAGGATTAAAGGTGTGCGCCCAGCTGAACATTTATTTATTTTTATTGGGCAAACAAGTGTTTTGTCCTCACATATGTCTGTGCATCACCTGTGTGCAGTGTTCTGAGAGGCCAGAAGAGGATGGCAAATCTCCTAGAACTAGAGTAACAGGCAGTTCTGAGCTGCCATGTGGGTACTGGGAATTGAATCCAGATCCTGCGGAAGAGAAGCCTATGCTCTTAACTGCTGAGCCACCTTGCCAGTCCACTAATATTTATTCTTAATAACTGGTAAAACTATTCAGGAAAAGCCAGGCTGTGGCGCCACATGCCTTTAATCCCAGCACTCAGGAGGCACAGGCAAGTGAATCTCTGAGAGTTCAAGGCCAGCCTGGTCTAAAAGAACAGGCCTCCAAAACTACAAAGAAACCCTGTTTCAAAAAACCAAAAAGAAAAAACAAAACAAAACAAAACACCCCAGCTATTCAGGAAACTGTCCATTCCCTGAAGAAGCTTTTTAACCCCTTTCTGAAATGTCCCAGAAAGGGAGGGAGGCTCTGGTCTACAGGAGCCATTAGCCAGCTGTAAGGCCGGGGTCCTTCTAGCTCTAACTGTGACTTTGCAAGCTAAATGCCAGCCAACTTAGTGGAGCAGGACACTGTCAGGTGAGAAGCAGTAGGCCACAGAAAGATGGCTTTTCCATCACCTTTAGGGGGTCAGCACCCCTCTCAGATTCCTCCCCGCCCCCAACACACATTGTAAAATGGATTCTAAGGCCCTGTGGTGAACTGTGGAAAGGTGACCCCAAGAGAAAGAATATTATTGTGTACCAGTGCAGTGTTCTGGACTGCCAGTATCACTTACCTAGAGAAACGACAGCCACACTCTCAGGCAGGAAGTGCAGTCGGTACCGGATCAGCAGGTGCACCAGGATGATGCAGATGGCTGTGAGAGGCACAAGAACTGTGTAAAAGCCCCATCAGGTAAGAGACAGCAAGCTCAGGGCTTGCTAAATGTCAGCAAACAGACATTTGGCAAACAAACAATGACCAGTGGTCATATTTTTAGTGTCTTTTTTTTTTTTTTAAACAACAATAGACTACTTGTAGAGTCTGTGAGATGGCTCAGCAGACAAAGGCATTTCTGATAAACCTGACAACCAGAGTTTGATTACCATGACCAACACGCAGGAGAGACTCTCTACTTCTGAGGTCTGTCTCAGATTTCTTTTAGACCTCTGAGTGTACATTTGCTGCATATATACACACGCACGCATGATCTTTATTTTGTGTATACATGTGAGTGTCTACATGTATGTATGTGCACCATGTGAACGCAATTCCCAATGGAGGCCAGAAGAGGGCACTAGATCCCCTAGAACTGAAGTTAGAAGCCACTGTGAGCCATTGTGTGGGTGCTGGGAATTTGAACTTCAGTCCTTTACAAGAAATGCTCTTAACCACTGAGCCATCTCCAGTCCCACAAATGGTTTGTGTGTGTGTATACATATATATGTTTTTGATTTTTTTGGGGGGGGACAGGGTCTCACTATATAGCCCTCATTTGTCTGACCAGGCTGGCCTCAAACTAATAGAGCTCTGCCTGCCTCTGTCTCCTGGGGCTAAAGGTGGATAACACCTATTTCTAAAATAACTGTGGGGCATAACACAGAAGGTATAGCTCTGGCTACAGCCCTCTCCTTGGAGCTTTACATGGGTTCTCAGGATGGAACTCGGGTCACCAGGCTCGTGTGGCGAGTGTCTCTACCTGCTGAGCTACCTTGCAGGCCCTCTAATAACAGATTTTTAGAAAGTTATAGCTTTGACAGCCATTTGGGGGGGGGGGTGTTTTTGAGACAGGGTTTCTCCGTAGCTTTGGAGTCTCTCCTGGAACTAGCTCTGTAGACCTGCTGGCCTCGAACTCAAGAGACCCACCTGTCTCTGCCTCCCAAGTGCTGGGATTAAAGGCTGTGCCACCACCACCCAGCATTTGACAGCCACTTAAAAAGGTTCACATTTTTCTGATTATAATACATGTCCTGCTTTCTTCTTTTTGTTGCTGAGTTGTTTTTTTTTTTGTTTGTTTGTTTTTTATTTTCAAGACAGATTTTCTCTGTGTAGCCTTGGTTATCCTGGAACTCACTGTATACACAAGACTGGCCTCAAACTCAGAGATCCCTGCATCTGCTGGGAGATTAAAGGCATGCACCACCACCACCTAGTTTTGTTGTTGTATTTTAAGCCTTGGTCTCAGATAGCCTATGCTGCTGTATTTGTTATGTACAGGAGTATGGGAGGATGACCATCAATTTCTGATGTTTTTTTTAAGTTATAAACTGATTGGCCCATTAGCTCAGAATTTGTATTAGCTCTTATAACTTATATCAGCTCATTATTCTTATCTATGTTAGCCACATGGCTCAGTACCTTTTTCAGGGAGGCAGGTCACATCCTGCTTCTTAGGTGTCTGGACAGGACTGCGGAGGAATGGGCCTCCTCCTTCCCAGAACTCTCCTGTTCTCATTGACCCGCCTCTACTTTCTGTCTAGTTGTCCCACCCATACTTCCTGCCTGGCTACTGACCAATCAGCGTTCATCCAAAACATAATTGACAGAATACAGAATTGTCCTACACCACTTCCCCCTCTTTTTTTTTTTTTCAAACAAAGGAAAATATCCATAGTCCATTTTTTGGGAATGTGGGCATAGTTTTCCAGGCTACTTCCTGCTGGTTGGGGGCGCTGATAATCTTTTTTTTTGTTTGTTTGTTTTTTTTTTTTTTTTGTTTTTGAGACAGGGTTTCTCTGTGGTTTTGGAGCCTGTCCTGGAACTAGCTCTTGTAGACCAGGCTGGTCTCGAACTCACAGAGATCCGCCTGCCTCTGCCTCCCGAGTGCTGGGATTAAAGGCGTGCGCCACCACCACCCGGCTGCGCTGATAATCTTAATGGGGACCTAAAGAAAATTTAGAATTATGATCAAGTCCTGACTGGAGTATCCTGTGAGTCTTCATCATCTCAGGCAGCAGTCTTGAATCTGTTCTGGATGTAGAACTCAGACATCTGGGCCATCTGTTCCTATCAGAGATTTCTCAGGTGGTCTTCCTCCATCAAACCTGATTTTTTTTTTTTTTTTTTAAACTCAGAATGAATCCACAGCATCTTATTTCCTTTTTCAGCAGGACAGGTCACATCTTGCTTCTTAGGTGTCTGGACAGGACTACCAATTTCTGATGTTTTTGCCTCTACCTTCTTAGTGTTGAGATTATAGGTGCCCAGTTTATGCTAGGGACTGAACCCAGGACTTTGTGTGCTAGGCAAGATCTTAATCAACTAATCTACATTCCCTGACTAAATAATACAACAGGTCATATGGCAAGACCCAGCCTTAAAACACACACACACACACACACTGGGTATGGTCACACACACCTTTAATCCCAGCTCTCCTGGAGACAGAGGCAAGTGGATCTCTGAGTTCAAAACCAGACTGTTTTACATAGTGAGGACAGTCAGGGCTGCACAATGAAACACCTCATCTTAGGGGGCAGGAGAAAAGCCAGAGAGATGGTTGGGGGGATCGGGGATACTTGTTCAACAACATTTTTTGATGAGAAACCAACTCCTGAAAGTCATCTTCTAACTTTCACATATGTATAAGCACAAACACACTAATAGAATAATAAAAACTCCTGGCCCCAAACCCCACTTTCGTGTATTTGCACCACTCTAAATGTCACTTCATGGTTCAGATGCTAGTGTGCATGGCTCTCCAGCCCCGAGGCCACACCTCAGCTCGCTATCCACAGAATAGCACCAGCAGGGTCTTATGACATGACTAAGGCTAGCCTGGTGTTTACTTAGTAGCCCTCCATGGTCTTGAACTCATAGCAATGTCCTGCTGCAGATGCTCAAGTATTGGGGTTACAGAGAGTTGTTACCATGCTCACCTCTAGAAATAATTTTTTTAATTTATTTTTATTTTATGTGCACTTATTTGCCTGTATGTATATCTGTGTGAAGGTGTCAGATCACCTGAAACTGGAGTTATAGACAGTTATAAGCTGCCATGTGGGTGTTGGGAGTTGAACCCAAGTCCTCTGAAGGAACAGTCAACGCTCTTAACCACTGAAGCATCTCTCCAGCTCCTAGAAATATACTTTTTTTTTTGGGTGGGGGGGCGGATCGAGACAGGGTTTCTCTGTATCTTTGGAGCCTGTCCTGGAATTAGCTCTGTAGACCAGGCTGGCCTTGAACTCACAGTGATTCGCCTATCTCTCCCAGTGCTGGGATTAAAAGTATGTGCTACTACCACCAGGCGAAAATAATTGTTAAAAGAAAATGTTCAAATGGGGTAAGGAAGTGGGTGAAGTGCTTGCTACATAAGCATGAGTTGAGCTCAGAGCCGAGCTGGTACACATCTCTGCAATCCCAGCACTGGGGAAGTGAAAACAGAAGTGTCCCTGGGACTCCTACCAGCCTGGCTGTGTCAGTGAGCTCCAGGGTCCCCAAGAGACCTGTCACTGAGAGCAGTTGAGGAAGACACCTGTAATGGACTTCCATCTTCCACAGGCATGTGTGCATATACAGATATGCACTCATACCCCAAACACACACATAAAATACACACACAGACAAATTGAGAGAGAGAGAGAGAGAGAGAGAGAGAGAGAAGCTCTGACTGTGCGGAGCTGCTAACAGACCACCCTCAGAGTTTGTACTGACAACTTTGGTTTCTTCACCCCATCAAAAAGTACCAGATGGCCAAAGAAAACACTGTCAATTCAGAAGTCTGGTCCTCTTTTCCTTCTGCACTGTAAGCTATCAATTTGTGATGTTGTTTCACTGTAAATATTTAACCCAGTTAGTGAATGAAAAATAAAAAGGAAAGAAAAGGATATGACTGTTCCTAAGTACCATGGAGGAGAAAGTTTATTACAAATGAAAGGAAGAACATTGTTATCATTTTTAAAGAAGTGGGACCATGAGTGGTGCCATGAGGGGTGGAGGTGTATAACCCGAGAGAATTTGGGTATAGAGTTTATTTAGTGGGTTATGGAGGGGAAAGGGAAGAGTAAGGGGAAAAGGGGGGAGGAGAGAGGTAGAAGCTGCCTCTACAGAAGAAGGGCAGATAGAGAGAAAGAGAGAGAGAGAAGGGAGGGAGAGGGAGAGGGAGAGGATGGGGACTGGAGAGGAGGTGGGAGATGGCTTGCCTTGGCAAAGGGTAGGGGAGGTTGGAAGTGGGCAGAGCTGTCTCTTAAAGGTACAGGGTACCCAGGTAACAGACCAGGCCAGCAGATTACAACAATAGCCACAGTCAGACACCAAGTTGGAGAGTCCAAAGTGATCATAAGTAGACTGAGCTAGCCCATGTGAGGAAAGGGGTGAAGGAGGGGGAGAGGAGAACCAGGTGTAGCAGCCAGGAGGCTATAAGTCACAAAAAGAGGTGGTAATCAAAACGTCTGGATTATGGAGGGAAAAGCCTCTGGGCTACAGGGCAGGAGGGGGAGTTGTATGTTATCCATACTCTGCAACAGGTAGGGCTGCAAGAATGCTGGGAGAACCTGCCGGCCAGGTCTGCTTAGATATGTTGTTTTTGTCCTGTTTGTCCTGGGTTTGACACCTAGAATTAGAAGTGTCAAATTAACAATTAGAATAATTAGAAAATCCTGCACTATCTTGCTGAGCCAGAGCCAAATAAGCACAGGAACCACTAAAACACTACATGAAAATGGAGGTCTCTGCTGCTTATAATCTGTCTGTCTGTCTGTCTGTATGCAAACATGCAGGGAGTACACACGGAAACCAGACAGTGGTTGTGGTTTGAAAGAAAATGGCCCCCAAACAGAATGACACTATTAGGAGGCATAGTCTTGTTGGAGGAAGTGTGTCAATGGTGGAGGTGGGCTTTTAGGTATCCTATGCTCAAGCTACATCCAATGTCACAGT